CACACACACACACTCACAGGCAAACACACACACACACTAACAGGCAAACACACACTCACTAACAGACACACACTGACACACACACACTCACTAACAGACACACACACACTCACTGGCAAACACACACACACACTAACAGGCAAACACACACACACTAACAGACACACACACTAACATCCACACACACTAACATGTGTTTTTTTTTTTTTTTTAACCCCCCCAGCCTCCTTACTTTTGCTGGGGGGGGTTCTTCCTCTCCCTGGGGTCCTGGGGTCCAGTGGCTGCAGGGCGGGCGGCCGGCGAGGGAGCTCTTCCCCTGAGCGCTCTGCTCAGCTCCCTCGCGCGCCGCCAGCAGAGTGAGGCTGGAGAGCCGGAATATGACGTCATATTCCGGCTCTCAGCCTCACTCGGCGGCGTGCGAGGGAGCTGAGCAGAGCGCTCAGGGGAAGAGCTCCCTCGCCGGCCGCCCGCCCAGCGCGGCAGCTCGGGATGTCTGTTAGCCGCGAGGCTAACAAGACATTTGCCTTGGGCATTTGGGGGGCGGCGTTTTTTGCCGCCCCCTGAAAAATGCAGCCCAAGGCAAATGCCTTGTTTGCCTCGCGGCTAATACGCCCCTGACTACATCCCTATCTCCCCACACTATGTTCCCTACACCAGGTCTGTCTCCTAAATTACTAGCAATAAAGATTTGTATCAGGACAAGTAGATTGGGCAAACACTTTAGTCCCTGGACAAGTAGTTGTTTTTAAATTTCAACACCCCCACCTTGTCATAATACCCTGCCTGCCATATACACCCCTACCTTGTCATAATACCCTCCCTGCCATAAACCGACTATCTGGCCATAATTCCCACCCTGGCATATACCCCTTTAACATGTCATATAATACCCACACTGCCATAATACCCTCCCTGCTAAATACCTCCACCTTATCATAATACACACCCTGCCATACACCCCCGCCTTGACATAATACACACCCTGCCATACACCCCCTCCTTGTCATAATACACACCCTGCCATACACCCCTGCCTTGACATAATATCCTCTCTTCCATATAACACCCAATCCCATTGTTTCCACCCGTAAAACATAAAACACCATATACTCACCACCTCACCTGCAGTCACCTCCTTCAATCCACTGTGTGCAATGGCACACACAGTCATAGTATCCACCACACTGTCCCACCCTGCCATATACCTTTCTCCTGCTAGTAATACTCACCCACTTACATATACATCCACGTTGTCACATTCCCCCAGACAGATAGGACAGATATATACTGGGAGGCAGTGAGATTAAACATTTTTATAGACAATATAGGAGTTTGTGTATGCCCTGCAGTAAGCCGGCAGCCCGGGTATGACGTCATCCTGGCATCGGCATCACTACTGGTCGTGCAAGTGAGCTGTGAAGGAAGAGCACAGAGATCCCAGCCCAGCAGCAACCGCTAGTCACTCCCAGAGCAAGGTAGGGAGGTTGGTTGGACCTCTTAATAACTAGATGTGTGTGTATATCTGTGGTTGTGTATGTGTTTAGTAGATAGCTCCCTAATATGGTGTCCTTAAATATGTCAATCCCACATAAGGATAACAAATAAGTGAGTTATCTACTAAACAGAAAAAGGCTTTTTAAATTTTGATCTTTTAGCTGTTTAGTAGAGAATTCCCTAAATTGGTGCCCTTATGTGAGATTCCATATGTAAAGATAACAAATTAGGGTGCTGTTTAGCAGATAGCTCCCTTATTTGGTGTCCTTAAATATGGCAATCCCACATAAGGATAAGAAATAGGGGAGTTATCTGCTAAACAAAGATCAAAGTTAAGAGGTGCCAAAACTAGGACCTGCCCCGGGTGCCATATGCTCTAGGTACGCCCCTGCCTCTAATACACATACTCCAGGGTCTATCAGGGTTAAAAATTGTGGTTAACCCTTGGCTTTAAATTAATATAATCTTGGAAACAGTGCCAATAGATCAATTTTTGATATAATAAAAATTATTAAATTATTTTTTGTTTATTTTTATGAAAATATAATTTTTTATATTTATCACCCCATAAATATCCCCACAATACAAGATATTAATACGCCTGAGAAAAGGTCCCAACTGAGACCTGCACAGGCTCTGCGTAATTGTGGCAGCACCCTCACTATTAGATTTCCTCACTCCTTTGTGGCTAATCACCTGGACTCGAAGAGGGCTGGAGTAGCAATAGTGATGTTCGGGACTGTGCTGTTTGTGTTAGTGGAGCAGCTGGCCGACCTGCATGACCGTTTCCTCTTCATGAAGGGCACCATCATGACCCACACATACACTAGTCCAATCTGTGTTGGAGATGCCATGCAGAGCTGGGCACAATGACTTACCTATTGTTCTGGTGGGCAATCTGCAGATGCATCAAAGACATTACAGGAAAGGAAATCCCCTTCACTCCAGATTTGATTCTGTTGGAAAACACTACCCGCTCTTTACCCACATACAAAAAGTCTCTAATGAACCACCTTCTAACTGCGGCGAGGTGTCTGGTCCCGCTCCTCTGGCATCAACACACAGCCCCTAGCGTCCAACATTGGTTGCAGAGGGTGGAGGAGATCCATATAATGGAAGCTATGGTTCATGCAGCCTTCCTGACTACGGAAAAGTACCTAGCCACTTGGTCTTCCAGGATTCAAAATGTAGCTTTGATATGAACAGCTGGAACCATTCACATGAGGTCATTAGGTTCAGTTGGTCACTGCTACACCACGTCTCTCTCCATGTCCTCTTCAACCCACCCAACTTTTTTGTATTCCCTTGTTCTTCTTCTCTCTCTCTTTCTCTCTCTCTCTCTCCTTTCCCTCCTCCTTCTCCTTTCATTACTTTCTCTTCAACCGATTCTGTCTGGGTTTTGATTCAGCATTGCAGAAACCTCTGCTTGTGTGGTGGTTGAACACATCTTGAGTTATTATTAATCTCCCCTGTACACTTGCACCTTGTTTATTTACCTTATTATACCGTATAAAATTCATAAAAAAACATTTGCCAAAAAAAAATCATCTTCACCAGATTTCGGGACGTATGTTAAAGATAGTACCAGTCTGCATTTGTGTAATAGTCATCACATCACCAGGATCGGAAAGTATATGTAAGAATTGTGAAAGTTACACCCAAAACTACTACTTTTTCATTTTCTTAAAAGAATCCAAATACCTTTACACATAGTATCTATAATGTAGTCACTGTGGAACGAGGCAGAGGGGATTCACGAAGAACCGACCCCAGGGTGAAGGCAGGTGGCATCTTCACGGTTAGACGCTGAAGCAGCAGATTCCATTCCCAAGCGCATTGCTCATCCGTTGACATGGCTTGAGGGATATGAAAACTAAAAACGGCTTACTAGCTCACAGGAGCCGTCTGTACTTGTACTTTGTTCAGTATTACAGTCCATGTAATCTAAGTTTACTTTAAAATTTCTCAAGCCATATCTACCCAGGTCTCTCTATCTTGTGCTTCAGGGATTGTGGCTGTACAGGCTCATATCTCCACATATGGTGGATATGTGTGTAGGTATTGACTTTTTGGCAAAGTGTTCTTGTATTTTTAATAATTACATTTGGGATGAGGGGAGGACACTCTCGGCACAATAACCACTACAGTGTTATGTAGTGGGTATGGTGCAAGGAGCGTTCCTTTAGTTATCATTTTTGACCAGCTCTGCCTTGGGATATAAGTAACCCAATAATTACCATACCCAGGGTCAGATTTGCTAATTGGCAGAGTACTTTTAGCTTTGCATGGAGGTGCTGAACGTTCCCCATAGGTAGAATAGATGTATTGATTCAATGTATCTCTATGCAGAGATGCTGATGGGTGCAGCACAGCCTTTTGCCGTACATACACAATATAGCCTCCCAATGCTTTCCTATGCAGCATGGTAAAAATGGTAAGTAAAATCGCCTTTTCAGAGCAATCAAAGGGTGGCCAGGGACCCAAACAGTCACACAGGCATCACAGCGTCAGGAATACATGTTTGTATTCCTGACACTACAGTGCTCCTTTAAGTCCACTAAACACTCTGTGTAAAGAAACTCAGATGTTAAAGAAACACTATAGGGTCAGGGATATGTTGTGTATTCCTGACCCTATAGTGTTATCAACATCATCGGTTATTTTGACATAAAATTCAGTTCGAATCTCTGACAAATTCACACTTTAGCGAATAATCTTGCAAACATAAATAATGTTTTGTTTACTAAACCACTGAACACCGAACTGTAGCAAATTGAAATTAGCATTACAACGTTTTTGCAAAAAGTGGTGAGTTGAGCCCTGTAAAATGTACTCCTGCACCTCCACCCCCTTAATTTTTCCTCTCTTGTCCACCTTCTCAGTCTTCACCCTCTCATCTTCCTTTGTTCTGTTCGCAGCCAGTTGGGGAATTATTGTAACCTTCCTGGCATTGCAAGGGTTATGTGGCCCTAAGTAAAAATAAAAACAAACTGTGCATGGGGCCAATATGATCCAACAATAGCTATAGAAATAAATAAATCCTCAGTTATTCCCTCTCATAACATGGCAATGGTAGGGGCATATCCATTGTGTGGTGGGAAGCCGTTCAACCGTTAATACCCAGTCACGGCGCAGAAAATGTGACTTGGCTTTGGTATCCCCTTATCCCCTCATTACTTCCCAGCAGTGGGGGGGGGGGAGGCTAACAAAATCCCATTGGGATGGAACAAATAAAATAATAGTAAAAGAGTAGAGGGGAGCCCGGTGCAGGACCCTCCCACACATTTGAGCATTGAGTTGGTGCTAAACAGTAATAATGGGGGTAGATCTGGCATTGTCCACTACTGTGACCCCCTTTCCAATTAAAAAAGTACTTTAATGTTAAAAAATAATAAAAGTAATACAATATATAATAAAATAAAATAGTGATAAAAAAGTATTAAAGGAACACTATAGTCACCTAAATTACTTTAGCTAAATAAAGCAGTTTTAGTGTATAGATCATTCCCCTGCAATGTCACTGCCCAATTCACTGTCATTTAGGAGTTAAATCACTTTGTTTCTGTTTATGCAGCCCTAGCCACACCTCCCCTGGCTATGACTGACAGAGCCTGCATGAAAAAAAAACTGGTTTAACTTTCAAACATATGTAATTTACCTTAAATAATTGTATCTCAATCTCTAAATTGAACTTTAATCACATAGAGGAGGCTCTTGCAGGGTCGAGCAAGCTATTAACATAGCAGGGGAAAAGAAAATCTTAATTAAACAGAACTTGCAATAAAGAAAGCCTAAATAGGGCTCTCTTTACAGGAAGTGTTTATGGAAGGCTGTGCAAATCACATGCAGGGAGGTGTGACTAGGGTTCATAAACAAAGGGATTTAATTCCTAAATGGCAGAGGATTGAACAGTGAGGCTGCTGGGGCATGTTCTATACACCAAAACTGCTTCATTAAGCTAAAGTTGTTCAGGTGACTATAGTGTCCCTTTAAACAGTACACTTTAAAATAAAATAGTGATAAAAAAGTATTAAACAATACACTTTAGTGCATTGTTTAATAATTTTTTATCACTATTTTATTATATATTGTATTACTTTTATTATTTTTTAACATTAAAGTACTTTTTTAATTGGACCTAACTTTGCTGCTGTTGGATTGTTTGGAGCTATATCCCTGGGGGGGATCATACCACCCAAGCGCTTTAGATTGAGCAAACCAGAACTTGCTCTTTAGCATGTGAGTAGGTTTAACTTATTTATTTCTGCTTACATTGCTTTTTACGGTGTACACTATTGTGGTTCTGTTTGTTTATCTCCACATATACACGGACGGAAGAATTTATATCTACACCTGTATCCTTGAATGGGGATCATACCACTTCAAGCGCCATCAAAGGAGCCAGGTTTTATGGCTCCATTACACGTGAGTGTAAATTTTTTACCTACCCTTGCTTCATAGCTCTACATACTTCACCATATACGATTTTTATTTGTTTTTATGAGGATAACCCCTACCACACCTATAACTCGAAGAATTGCCTCTGCACTTGATCCATAGGCGGGGATTCTCCCACCCAGGCGCATACACTGGAGATGTATTGAAGCTCCAGGAAAGTGTGAGTGCACATCTTTTATTTTACTTATCACCACTACAGTTTTAAATACTACACTATTATTTCTTCTCTGGTTCTCCTCACATATACCTTGTCAAGGACTACTGAAGCGCTGCATCTACCCCTCTTTTTTTTATCTTGTTTAAAAGTTTGGCTAGGGTGTGCAGTCTCTACCTCCAGTTCTATTCCTACCACAGGGGACTTACTAAAATAAAACCACCCATTTTTAGACCACTACAATAATGGCTTAAGGTACAATACAAACACAGATTACAATTACAATAACATGTACAATCCAGAAAAAGGAGGAAAATCAATAAGCATCATTAAATAAATAATTAATTAAAGGAACACGCCGGGCACTTATAGCACTCTTTACTTGTGAGTGATATTCTGTTCGGCTCACTGTTTGACTTTATGCTCTTTACTGTTACATATTGATTGGCACTATATATTTTAATATTTTATTTTTTGGTTTACCGAATCAATATTGATGAAATGTAAGTTAGCATTAGCAAATATTTCTAAGAATTTGTTCACCAGTTTGTTAATGGTTTTAAGTCACAATATATTTTTGGTTTCTGCACAGGTTAGTATTATAAACAAGCACTTTTTAGATTTTAGTTACATATTTTTATCATCCTTTGGACTTTGAACTTTATGCCAGAGCTTTGTAGGTTTTTACATCACCGATACAAAGCATACAATATACAAAGAAAGGATGTTCCTGAGGGCACAGCTTAGTCAAATGGAAAAAAATATCTGTTCTGCAGAGCGTTATTATTGTTTTATAACGCGCCAATAAGTTCTGTATCACTGTACAGTGGGTGGACTAACAGACAAGTATTTGTAAAATCCTAAAAAAACACAAAATAGAGAAATCGTAAGAAAATCTGTTCCTTTTCCAAAAATAGCTTATATTAATCAGTCACTGTCCATGGAAAATGTCAAGTGAGTTATAATTACCTGACTCGGTCATTCGCGAGTGCCACCATCTAAGATCTTTAGCTCCTGACACTTCATCAACAAAGAGTCCATGTCAGTGTTGTTCTCTCACGCATGTGCTAGAGTACAAAACTGGTGTCTAAGGAGGAACTCGCAAGACTGGACCCCCAAAGATATCATCCAGTGATGAGTGAGATAAAGCCTTATTCCCACAACCATAATTAGCGACGCTGTGGGAAGTGGCACAATTTTGATGTGTTTTGGACACTTTAGAATTTACCATAATAAATCTTACTGTCTTATTATATCTTTTAACTGTGTTTGAATTTCAATGAAATTCTGACACAGTCTTTATGAGCAAACCTATTTCTTTTAGTTTGAACACTAACCTATTGTTTGGAACAGTAAATAATGCCTTGGCAAAACCCAAGCAGATGGTATCAACTGCAACATCGTGATCTATACTTCTACTTACTTCTTCGTATAATGCAGTTAAGTTAGTTTGACATGACCTATGTTTCATAAAACAGTCTTAACAGTCTTGTTGGGTCAGACTATTTTTTTTTTGCAAGTTAGGTTTCTCAACCTAATTTGCCAGCTGCTGTGATAGTCTATGTGAAACTGCATCATCCATCATTAAACCACAGTAGACTACATCTACTGTTATTAAAGGGATTCCAGGCTTCAGCTTATTTGCCAAAGTACAGTCTACAAGGGTGATCTCTAAATTGTAAGATGTGGACAGGGAATAGCTTCACCTCCAAGTCCACTCCTCACTCATGATAGCAGTGAATGAACCTCTGAATCTTCTCTCCCTGTCAAGGGTAGACATATTTTTGCACCACTGTATCCAACTACATGCCCAGAAATTTGACCCATCAAGAAGGAATCAGCATGATTTCAACCAATATATAATAAAACCATGGTTTGGTAAATTTGTGATGTTTGTTTGAAGATTATGAAGCAGAATTTCTCTTGAACTTGCTTGTAATAGACAGTCGTCTAGGTATGGGACAGCATCTATCCATTGTTATCCGAGGAATGCTAAAATGACAAACAATTGTTTGAAAACTGTCTTGAAGCCGATGAAAGAATGAATCGGAGGGCCCAAAACTGAAAATGTTCTACACCCGGAGCTGAAGGAATGGAAAATATTTGGAATCTTCTGTGTTTTAGTAAATGGGCACATGTAGATAATCGATAATATGTAGATAATAGCCTTTTAAGTCTATTCAAACTATAGTCATATTTTCACAAAATTTTAGCATAGAATTGTTTGATTTCATATAAAAAAGACTGACTTCTGTAAAATCCAGGATAGAGCCAGTAAAAAATATTCTTCAACAAGTGGTTGTTTATTCCCTGGCAACTTCCTCTCAGACAGAGTTCCCCTTCAGCTTCAATACTTCTTCCTCTAGAATGGTTTAAAGGTTTTTTTTTGAAGACACGTGGGAACACAGGAACTCTTTCATTGGAAGGTAGTGTAAAATGTCTACTACGCAATATTCTGTTATAATCTTTCCCATAGTGCTGTAAAATATTTTAGCCAGCATCCCACCTATCTACTGGCTTTGTCTGTGATTTGACTTGTGTAGGAATAACACTAAAAGTAGAGACAATCTGTATCTCTATATATTTTTTCATTAATCTCCAAATAAGTAACCACCGGAGAAGAAACATGTGTTCAATAGATGTGACATTTTCTCTTGAGAAAGGGCCTTCTTTCCTTCAGCCATGTATTTAACAAATAATCTAGAAAACTGCCCAAAGTCTTCCCTGTTCGAAAGGGAGATCGCAAGGAGTGCTTTTTGATGCTGTATCCGCCGACCAGGTCCTCAACCATGTTGCACATCGGACTGCAATAGATAGATCTATTAATTTAGCTGATTATTTTAATACTTTTAAGGTAAGTGTCACAGAAGATGTTAGGGTCTAAACCAGGGGTGCCCAAAAGGTAGATCCCAGATGTATTTTCCATGATGCCTTTCCATTCTAAATGCATGCAAAGCATCATGGAAATTGTAGTTCTTCAAAATCTGGGGATTTTCCTTTTGGGAATCCTTGGTCTAAACGAATATGTACCAAAACCATATCTGTGTTATCAGAAGAATTCTTCACTATACTGTGTGCTAAGAACTTTTAAATAAATAAACTGTGGCGTGGCTACTAACATTCGTGCAATAAGGGCTTTGCGGCGCTGTTGATGACATATATTTCCTTCAAGATGTCTAAGAATCAACTAGTAAATGTAGTGTTGTAGCCTTATTGACCTATAGAAACTTTTAACTTGTCTAACTCTATAACGTCTTCCTCTTGTAAAGGAAAAAATATTTTAAAAGGTTGGGGGAGGGTCAGGGAGGAAGCTCTTCTCTCTGGCTTTTTTCACTCTTTCTGCATAACCTTAAGAGTTTTTGGATGAAAATTAAATGCTTGGGGACATTTGGTAACTAGAGGAGATTATGGCTCACTCAGATGGCCTGATACTTCTCTAATAAAATGAACAAGATATTCATCAAGGAACCATGCACCAGGCAATTGCCTTATACATTTACTCCTGCAGACCCTCTGCTTCTGCCATGTAGGAAGTTAAAACAGCCCACGTAGAATGATCTTTTATATCGAGTGGTGGTGTCATGTCACATTCTTTGCACAGCTAGGAGTTTAGAGTTAATCCATTATTCAAGACAGCCACAAGGTTGAAAGGACAGGGCCATTCAGATGAAGTGGTCTGGGTGACTCTAGGGTCCCTTTAAAGTAGCAGTAGAAACGGCTTGGCCTAATCTTGATTGAACTGGCAGTAGAATCAAGATTTCCTATATCCTATATATTTGATAGAGTCCTAACCTCAACATCTGAGGAAAGGGATTTAGGGGTGATTATTTCTGATGACTTAAAGGTAGGCAGACAATATAATAGAGCAGCAGGAAATGCTAGCAGAATGCTTGGTTGTATAGGGAGAGGTATTAGCAGTAGAAAGAGGGAAGTGCTCATGCCATTGTACAGAACACTGGTGAGACCTCACTTGGAGTATTGTACACAGTACTGGAGACCGTATCTTCAGAAGGATATTGATACCTTAGAGAGGGTTCAGAGAAGGGCTACTAAACTGGTTCATGGATTGCGGGATAAAACTTACCAGGAAAGGTTAAAGGATCTTAACATGTATAGCTTGGAGGAAAGACGAGACAGGGGGGATATGATAGAAACATTTAAATATATAAAGGGAATCAACACAGTAAAGGAGGAGACCATATTTAAAAGAAAAAAAACTACCACAACAAGAGGACAGTGTCTTAAATTAGAGGGACAAAGGTTTAGAAATAATATCAGGAAGTATTACTTTACTGAGAGGGTAGTGGATGCATGGAATAGCCTTCCAGCTGAAGTGGTAGAGGTTAACACAGTAGGGGTACTTTATCTGAGGATTATTTTATCTGAGCATATTTGAATTTTTAAGTTTAAAAAAAGCTTGCAATTTTGATGCCCTTCTGACCAAAGTTCTGGCTAATAGGTGCTTTAAGCAGTCCGATGATTTGCACGTCTTGAGCACTGCTGTCCAATTCTTTGCTTCTTTTTTTATTAAATTAACAAAAACCTTTTCATCTTTCCATGATGAAATATCTTCTTTCCCTGTTTCACCATTCTAACTCATTCAAGTCCTAAACTATATTGTGTACTGGAAAAGTGTATTTCCTCTGCCCTAAGTAGTACTGTATAGACAAAAAAATCTTTAAGTCCGATTTTTTTTTTTTTTAAATTGAGGTATGTTCTACTATGTTATATGGGGGTTGCAGTTGCTTTGTAGCGTTGTATTTCTACATACGTGTGCTGTGATATCATCCAGTATACATTTACGAGTAGTTTGTGGTATTGTGCATAATACCTATGAATGTGTGTTGTGTATACGGGTTGCTTGTGTAATTGAGTGTGTGTGTGTGTGTATTGTCAGTGGTGTTGTGGTTGTGTGGACCGTGGGTGCGGGCGGTTTGTATTAAGGATTACCCCTTACCACCTGCAGTCCATGGTTTGCACTAGTAGATATCTGAAATCCCACTTATAGGGCAGAGGCAGAATTGTGTGCACTGCACAAGAGCTATAGGTTGCTGACCCCTAATCCTTAAGGGGAAAAAAATGTGTCAAGATGCCATAATAAAAACGACTAGAATCAGAGGATTGGTCACATCCAGATGTTTCTTATTACACAAGCTAAGAACCTTTATTCCAAATGCACAAATAGACTCTTAAATTGTATTGCAACCTTTTCTTTGATTCCAATGCTTTGTAGAATAATCCTTGCAACATCCAGTTTCTCAGTGTTTCTCACTCCTCTTCTCCAATGGGTTTTACCGACTGTGTTAATTTTTTTTGATGTTTAACGACTTTATTTTGTAAACCACACGCCCTGTCTCGTGAGAGAATCTAGATGCGTTCTCCATCCTGTCTTAGAGGCATCTGTGATTTTTTTGATCCAATTTGGTGTGCGAGTGTGAGCCCATCTTGAACAAACTTTGATGTTACCCACCACTGTTAATAATTTATTGTGGGTCCTGATAGATGCAGTGCTTTTTCCAAAAACAGTAGGATTTAGCAACTGAAGAGATCTGGTGTGGGATTTTGCCCATCTTACTGTCAGAACGGTGGCAGTAAGTAGACACAACTGGCTCATAGCCTACTTGATGGAACAGACTGGACTCTGCTGAACACTTTTCATCGCTCCGTTTGGTCTTAAACTTTTGTGCGCAGGAACGACTAGACGTAAGGTTGTTGAATCCACTTCCAGGCCTAGAAAAAAAACGAATTGTCAGAATTGTGGCAACTGACATTTAACGTGGATAAGTGCAAGATACAGAATATTTGATAGAGTTCTAACCTCAACATATGAGGAAAGGGATTTAGGGGTGATTATTTCTGATGACTTAAAGGTAGGCAGACAATGTGATAGAGCAGCAGGAAATGCTAGCAGAATGCTTGGTTGTATAGGAGGAGGTATTAGCAGTAGAAAGAGGGAAGTGCTCATGCCATTATACAGAACACTGGTTAGACCTCACTTGGAGTATTGTACACAGTACTGGAGACCGTATCTTCAGAAGGATATTGATACCTTAGAGAGGGTTCAGAGAAGGGCTACTAAACTGGTTCATGGATTGCGGGATAAAACTTACCAGGAAAGGTTAAAGGATCTTAACATGTATAGCTTGGAGGAAAGACGAGACAGGGGGGATATGATAGAAACATTTAAATATATAAAGGGAATCAACACAGTAAAGGAGGAGACTATATTTAAAAGAAGAAAAACTACCACAACAAGAGGACATAGTCTTAAATTAGAGGGACAAAGGTTTAAAAATAATATCAGGAAGTATTACTTTACTGAGAGGGTAGTGGATGCATGGAATAGCCTTCCAGCTGAAGTGGTAGAGGTTAACACAGATAAGGCTAGGGACTAATGAAAGTTTTTAGAAAATTGGGCAGACTAGATGGGCCGAATGGTTCTTATCTGCCGTCACATTCTATGTTTCTATGAAACGCTTGTATGGGTGCAAGTTCGATTTGTCCCCATTTATGAACCATCCATGCTCTTGAAGAATCTGTGAAGTGTGTTAAAGGGACTCTCCAGTGCGAGGAAAACAATCCATTTTCCTGGCACTGCAGATCCCCTCTCCCTCCCACCCCCCCCATCCCCAGTTGCTGAAGGGGTGAAACCCCCTTCAGTCACTTACCTGAGACCTCCGCCGATGGTTTCGGGTCGCCGCCGCCCCTCCTCTTCATTACGTCGGCCGAGACTGATTCTGCCCGCGGAGACCTAATGCGCATTAGAGCTCTCCATAGGAAAGCATTAAAAATTGAAAATGGGGAATTGAGCGGCGCTGGAGGTACTCACACAGCGTGAGGACGTCCAGCGACGCTCTAGCACAGGTTTTCTGTGCTATGGACCAGGAAGTGCCCTCTAGTGGCTGTCAAGTAGACAGCCACTAGAGGTAGAGTTAACCCTGCAAGATAATTATTGCAGTTTATAAAATGGTAGTGGGAGTTGGCGCCCAGACCACTCCAATGGGCAGAAGTGGTCTGGGTGCCTGGAGTGTCCCTTTAAGTTTTCTTTTAGCGGAGAGTAAGTTGCTGCCTTTATGTACCAGTTGTACAAGTACGGTACAATGAAAATTCTCCTTTCTTAGAACGGTTAGTGTGGAAATAGTTTTTATAAAGACTCTTTGAGCAGTTGTCAAGCTGAAAGGAAGGGCTAAAAATTAAAAATGTATTTTTCTGCAGTTCTTGATGGTAAACCTTGGAAACCTCCAGTATGACTGAGCTATCGGCATGGAGATTAGCATCCTTTAGATCTATAGTTGCAATCAAACCCTTTTGAAGAACCTGAGTTTCTGACAAAATGGTTTCCATTCTGAACCTTTGATATAGAATGCACTGATAGATTCTTTTTAAGTCTGAAGGTTTTGCCTGGCTTTTACACAAGAAAGCCTATAATAGACTCCCTGGAATCTTTGCAAATGTGTTACTTTTCCTATAACTCAATTTTTTTAGGAGCTTGACAGTTTTGCATAACAGAATTTTCTTCTTTTTCTAGAAGGAACAAAGGAATTGTGAAATCAGCTTCGTAATGAATCCTATTTTGTATCTAAAAAAAATCGTATTAAAGATTCACCGATTTTGAGTGGTCTGAATCCATCTTTCTGCAAAGTTTTTTTTTTTTTAAACTTTTCCTCCCACCTTCAATTTTTGTATCAGAACCGAGCGTTTCTCCATCCTGGAAGATGTATTTGTCTTTTGGCTTATATTCCTTAGAATTGCAAAAGAAGTGATTTCTGTTCTCTTTGCAATTACATCCTCTGTGAGATCAGGTGTAAATCTGTTCCACGATCTTCTCAGCAGATTGAAACTAATTTTTCCTTTTCAAAGGGAAGGTCACATAAGGCAGATTTCGAATTTGTATCAGCAGACCATTATTTCAACCAGATGGCTCTACAGGCAACCAACAGGTCCATGCTTCTTGCAGCCAATTTTACAGATTTGTCTAATTTCGCCAATATATTCATATGGCAATTTGGCATTTTTAAAGAATTGCGATGGGTCCTCAGAGCTTTTCAGTGAATAATAGAGCTATTACAAATCTTTCTATATTCTGAGCTCCTCACATTGCAGAACCTGAAAGAACAGCTTTGCTAAGGAAGGCCAAAGTCTGCTTCTTCCCCATTTAAGGTTTGTGGGTCTTGATTTTAGAAAGTTGTGTGATACGTACATTAACTTTTGGGAGCTCTTACAAATCTGCTTCCTGCAGCTTCGAAAGTTGTTTCAACTGCTTGTAAATTAAGTATTTTTCTCTGGGGTTTTTCCATTCATGTTTCATCTTGGACGTCAAATGGAGCTGAATAGGAATGCTTTTTTCCCTGTTTTTGTCGTCCTGCACCACCTTTAGGTCCTTTTAAACAAATCTACTCAGATCCTCCATAGGAAACCTGGTTTAATGCTCAGAATTATTACAAGAGGTATCTGAGAATGAGGAACTCTGAGAACATTCTCCATAATATAACTCCATTCTGCCAGTGGCACCGGTTTCCATTATTTTGCGAGTAGCCTCTTTAAAATTAGAAAAGGACTGAGAAAGATCTTCCTGAAGCAATGCCAAATTTTAATTCATATGCTTTTACTTTGATCTTTCAATTGCTTCCTGGGAGCAAACATTGCATATTTGTTCTTGCATCCATCAGGCAGGGGTGTAGTAGATTCAGCACAATGTGTTCGATTCGCAGAAGGCTTTTAATTTAAGATGTTGATTTCTCTCCCCTTTGCCCATTTTACCTGGAGATGGACTAAAGATCTAAAGAAAGTATAAAATTGTGAGAATAACTGAGAAAAAAAACAGACACCAGTTAAAACAAAAATTTCCAATAGTTCAATCCTTAATTGACCATAGGGTCGTGTGGGGGCCAGCGGGCACAATATTTTATGTTGTGACAAGCACCCTTACTGTCAAATAGGCATTACAGTAGTTTAAGAACCCTGTAAATTTAGAAACTGGCGCCAGGGATAAACATACCATTTGCTGATGTGGAACGCATCGAGTGACTGGCATGCTTTCCACTTGCTATGCGCAGGTGCAGTGCCAGCTTGAACACTGGCCTTCACATGCGTCCACCTCAGCCTGCCAAAGCACCTTTCCAACGTGCACAAATAAATCACACAAACGCCGCCTAGACTTCAGTAATTCTACTGCCGGATGCAGGACTAGTTCACCTCTCTGGTAGCATCTCGTGTCTAGCACTATTATATTTAGGAGGCTCAACCGGACTGTCCTGCTCACAGGACAAGCAAGAACAGAGGGTCCTCAGGAATGTCAGGTATTTATGGCTGCAAAAAGGTTGTGGTACTGAAAAAAAACAAAAACATTTTTTAAAGAAGGCTACCTGTCCATTTCAACAAGAATATCCCTACTGTACTACCACAGAACACAAAAGAAATACACAATACAATGGAGTTCCTACATTTCCTTGCATCTTTTTACTGCCTTTGAATTTCAGTGAAATTACAAAACATGGCCTTTAAAACCATATTAAAGATCTCATCTTAATGGAAAGCTTATTTTTGGGGTGACAGAGCCACTTTAACCCCTTAAGGACCAAACTTCTGGAATAAAAGGGAACCATGACGTGTCCTTAAGGGGTTAAAGTTCAACACTAGCAGACTGCACAGTCTTATGGTCAACCATGCTCCTTCCCCCAGTTTGATTACAGCTTGGAGGAGAATCCTTTTAGTTTATTACATTAATTTCTTTGGTGATGTACAGAACAGTGGAAGGAATGCTTTACGCATTGGAACATATGGCTTGCAGCCATCAATAAAGATAGTCATGCAAAAGGACCATAAGCAAAGAATCAATTAATTCTAGGGAAACACCGAAATGAAAATGCTGGGCCGAAACCGAAAATTCAGGATGCTCTTGGCAGAAAACCGAAACAGACTTTCTTTAGTCAATAACCCTTTATATTTCAACAGGATTTGCAACTAGTCAATCTGATAAATTTTTAACAGAATTTTGTTAACCTGCACTGCATTTGATCCTTAGTAAATAGCAAACTGAGAAGTGAATGATAATAGCCAAGCTTACTTTAGCTTAATAGGATATATTTATTATCCTATTATCAAATGATTTATTTGTGCTAGATTCCAATTCACTTTAGATTGCATTAAATTATTTTCTATTAAATGTATTTAATCCCCGTTAATCTGTACATGACAGATTCCATATGTCACTGATATAAATTATAAACACACTGAGGAGCACACCGTCCGGCCAGCTGATGGGGGATTGAAGGGGAATACTGATGCTGATTAATAATAAACCCTCAGGAAGTGACAAATAAAATAACCTTATTAGCTGTCCGGCCAGCAGTTGACATATCCGGATTACCCCCAGACCAGGCTGGGGCAGCATGGCTCCTGGTGTCAGACAGTAGTGCCTGTCACAGTAACTCACCTGCACAGTGCCCAGCTCCACCTACAGCGACAGGCTGTGCCCCTGCTCACACATCACTTCTGGATACATAGTCGCAGAGCAGCGCTGCGCAGCCCTGCCAGACACGTGACCCAGGTGCAAGATGGCTATACCCAGGAGCAGAGCACAGGACTCAGACTGATAGTGGTGGTGATTATTTCCAGCGGCTTGGGAGCTACCAGGTAAAGGAAATGATTGGGTTTTAGCCTTAGGTGTGCAGTGGCTTAAATGTTACAGTACAGTCTGCAGCTCACACCCGGTGGAGCTGCAGACTACTGGCTCTCTCCCCGGGCTAACGGGAGGGGCCTTACCCGGTGCCGCCGGTCCCCTCACAATGTCAGGTCCTCGGTCATGGACTGACAAGTCACTCTGCCCAAATTTCTGGCAGGTTTGACCCATTTTCAGGCGAAAATTCCAGCAGCCGAAATTTCTGGCAGCTTTGACCCATTTTCGGACGAAAATTCCAGCAGCTGAAATTTCAAGGCATCCCCAATTCACTTCCGGCAACTGGGTCTCAAAAAGTAGGAAAATTCAACTGAGACTCTGCTTCTAGAGTGACAAGTGTTTAAACACACAAGAATATCATAAAAGGAGTACCCATAAAAGGTGTACCCTGCTTTAGCAGCTATAAAAACTGTATCAGAAAAATGCGGATGCAAGACACCGTATATACTTTATTTAAGAAACTGCTATACAGCTAAATTTTCTAATTATAACAAGTATTCTGCAAGAGAGTAAACCCTGGGTCTGTTGAGAAAAAGGTTCTAAAAATGTGTATTGATCTTATATCCTCTTTAAGAATTCAGTGCTTAGCACAAACGTGCTATTAGAACTGTATGGATGCCACTATAAAAATTTCATTTTGGGAATTGGGAAACAGTGATGTCATGGCAGAAAATAATTCAAACAGATGTGTACCATTAGCAGCACCAAGTGTGAAATGCATTCAGAGGAAACAAAAATGATATATATAAAAAATAATATTTACAAGATAAAATACTGCAGTTGCTCCTTACACTTTATTTGTTAAAATAAAATTAAAAAGAAAAGTGTGAAATAAAGTTATGATAGTGAAGACCGACAGAAGGATTTAGGGGGCGACCATACTTCTTTAATATAAACAAATGGTTCCAAATTAATTTTCTTTCATAGATTGAAAAAAAAAAAAGACAGAAACGGGATTACTCTGTCTGAACAGTAACATTAATTGGACTTAAATAAGAGGTGCTTTTGCTTTTTTCCTTTTTCTTTTAAAACGGCACTTTCCTTAACAAACCAAGGAGTTTAAAACAAAAAATATTATATATATTTATATATATTTGCACTGGATGCATATGTTAGATCAAATGCCCCCTACAAAGAAAAAACAAAAAAGGCTGCAAAATGCAGAAAAACCACATTTAGGCTCTATTACATTTACAAATACATACATAAATATATTACATATAACAGCAAACCAAAAGGAAAGCGGGCAACTTTCACACTAAGATGTGTTTGCAGATTTCTCCCGCACAGACGTTTTGGCTGGTCACAGTTTTGTTTCTGTAAAATATTCCGATTAGCAGTGGCTTCCAGGAATGGGCTCTAGCATACTCTTCCTTTATGTTGCTTGAAATGTATTCCTTCCACATGAAAGGGATCAGTTTGTCCAGTATGGGGACGGGGTGTAGGCAGTCTTGTTCGTCTGAGATTTCTGCTGCATTGTGTTTGCTTGGCTGCGCTGGCCGGATGCACCCTGCAAAAAAAACAATATTGGCAGATTTGTAAAGGATGTACTGCTGCAGACTGTCACAAGTACAATCCACTGCAAACCTTCTCCAGGTGACATTACAAATATACATCAGGCAGTATGTGCTGTTCATGGGGAGGTTTAGTTATTGATCCCTTAGATTTTATAGAACCAATGTTTAAGAAAAAAAAAACAAAAACAAAAAAAAAACACCCCACAACAATTATAATACTGTTCGTCCAATTCACAAATCAGTGTTCCCCTTAAATGCAACTCCCCCTTCCCCCTGAGGTTCTGTGCCAATTACCAAAATGCTAAGTCAATGCTGGTTCAAACCGGAGGATATGAAGGGAAGGATTGGTGTTCAATTCCACCCATTTTTCACAAAGCACTGTCTCTAGACAGTGGCACACATGATCAACTCATTTGTAAGGAATCCACACCCTTGGTATCAAAGTACTCATAGTAAGTATCTGGAGCTTTAACAAATACCACCCGACATTCTCACCTGACCATCCTGCTGGAGGTGGTGATGCAGCAGCTGAGAATGAGGCTGCTGATGAGCCGGCAAAATATGGAGGAAAGGAGCAGGAGCGTAGCCAGCAGCTGCACCAGGGTTTAATGGCCCAGTCGATCCGAGAGCCGATGGTAAATTAAAGGGAGGCGGTGTTGCAGCATGAAATCCCTGCTTGTCAAACGTCTGGTAAACACAAATAGGGACAGTTAAATCTGCCTTCTGGGAAGGAATGGGTTAGGCAGTAGCGAGTGTACGGCTTACCTGAGTCTTGTTGTAGACAGAGCCACTGATATCAGGAACTCCTGTGTTACTGGAACTCACTGACACACCTGGCAACAAAATACAAAAGACTGTCAGAAAGAGCCAAGATCTCTGTGAAAGTAGAACTTTCTTGGAAAGAGCCAGGACTTCTAGTTTTTTAAAATATATACTTGAAAGTAGAAAGACTATATATGGACTTACACAGCATAAACCATACTGACCCCGATTTTGTAAGCTCAGAATGTGCAAGGAAAAGAAAGGGAGGAGGAAAAAAAAAATATAATAGAGCTCAGATGAAAGACAAATATGTGAAGGAGGAAGTTTTAACTTCGATAGAAAAAAACAAAACCAAGACGTATGAAATATTAAAGTGAATCAGTCTTTACCCTTAGAGATCTGCTCAAAGATGAAGCTAATTGGCAACTGCATTTAATTTCTACTTTGATATTCTAGGATTTATTAAATACCAGATAGTGATCAAGTGACAGATTATATCAGACATTATGCTTGGTAGAATCAGTATTTCATTTTAAACAGGCAAGGACCTAATAAGGAGATACCCAACTAATCTCCATAAATGAATGGAGTACCCAGGATTCTTCTCGATATGGTCAGTATGCCCAACAGATACACCATATTACAGTTCATTACCTTTGCCAGGTCCAGTGCTTGCAGATTTGCTTTGTGCTTGAGATGACCCACTGTATCCTCCTTTGCTGTAGTCTCCAGCTGTTCCTTGTGTGAGATCATCATAACCTAAAAAAGGTAAACTGACTAAACATATACACTTGATGGGACCCTATCAAGGAGTGTCAGTATAAATTCTGAGTTTAATGGTTGAGCCATACCTGCACCATAGCTGTGCTGTCCGTAACCGCCGGCCTGTTGGAAAGGGGTTGATGCTGTATTTAAGCTGACTCCATGTTGTTTAGCAGAAGCAGGAGGTACCTGGATGTTAAAGCACATACAGAAAGTTCACACTCCCTGAAATGTTTTGACTTTGTATAAATATATTTTAATCAGTTAAGGCTCTATCAAAGGACATGTAAAACCTCCCTTAACATATCCTGAATTAATTATATGTTACAGTACCACTGATAAAAGTAGAATAACCCTGAGATCTTTAGACATTTTCAGTAAAAAACAAAAACAAATTGAAAATGTTATTTATAAAGAAATTCCAAGGGAAATAACATAGGTTTGAGCAATCACAATGGCAACCAATAGGATGTTACTGCAGACTGCTCCACGTTAAAGAGACACTGTAGGCACCAAGACCACTTCAGCTAATTGAAGTGGTCTGGGTGCGGTGACCCTTTTGCACCTAGTGCTGCAATGTAAAACATTGTAGTTCCAGAGAACTGCACAGTTTACATTGCAGTTCAAAGTCTGCCCTCTGTTAGTCTACCAGACAGCCTCTAGAGGGCATCCGGAATCCAAACGGACTTTGTCCTCTGAGAACTCCAGTGTCAGATTATCCCCATAGGAAAGCATGGAGTAATGCTTTCCTATGGGGAGGTCTAATGCGCATCATTAAGTCTCCACCGCCGGCTGACATCGGCAGAGCAGAAGCGTGACCCAGCGCCGAAGGACTTCTGCACTGGATTCAGCCACGCGGGAGGGGGGCACTCCAGGAGCCTATAGGATCCCTTTAAATACTGCCCCAGAATGACTCATACAGCATGAGTTGTTTTTTACACTGCTTTATAAAATCCCTGAAAATGTAATTCGATTTTTCTTCAAGGGATATATGATAAGATAAACAGCATTATATAAGTTATAAGGAATTTAGCATACTAACAACCTTTCACTCAAACAGGGTAACAGCATAAATGTTAACCCCTTCGTGACCAGACCGTTTCTCAATTTTCTTACCGTTAAGGACCAGGGCTGTTTTTACATTTCTGCGGTGTTTGTTTAGCTGTAATTTTCCTCTTACTCATTTACTGTCCCCACACATTTTATATAGTTTTTCTCGCCATTAAATGGTCTTTCTAAAGATACCATTATTTTTCTGTCATATGGTGGCAGTAACTGAAGGGTTATACTTCTCCCTGTGGACAAGACAAATAGCAATTAAAATAAAAAAGGACCCTCCCCCTTTCCCTATAAAGTGTGATACCTCTCAGATATTCCCCAATCTTCTTTCTTGTCCCGAGAGGGAAGGACAGGACATCCATAGGTGAGACACACTGGTTGTTGGTCTGGGGAACCCGGTCGGTAAGCTGAGTGACCATGCTCCTAACCGATAAGGTTACGGAGCAAGTGGAGAGAGATCCTTTTATGCCGAGAATGGTTCCGGCATTACTTCCTGGAGGTGGAGCTCTGGCCGAGCATGCGCACTGCGGTGGAACGCACGCCTGGGTGGTGATTGCGTTCCACCTAGGCTTCCGGGTGCGCAAACACGCATGCGCATACCGGAGCCTTAAAGAAATATACAAAAAAAAAACGCGAAAATTGAAACCGGGAAATATAAGAAGCTGTGCAGTACCTACTGAGGTGAAATTTAAATTAATCTTTACTTTAAAATATTCTCTGAAAATATTCTTTCAATTTTAAAGCTTTAAAACCTCCTTTTCATATGTTCTTCACAGATATGTCTAGCCCAGCTTATCCGGACGTGGACAAAGAAAAGCTGGCTGCTGCTACGCCTAGAAAGGCTACCGTAAAATCTAAACATTTAGTTTGCAGTGAATGTGCAACACCTCTCCTAGATGGATCAAGGAAGAAAATGTGCAGTCAGTGTACGGCAAATTCTTTGGAAAAAGATAAGCAAAAAGATATGCAATCTTTCCTATCTTGGTTCCAAGAAAATCTGGCCCAAACCTTGGAGACGATTAAGGAGTCTGAAAAGGTAGAATCCCCGATACAAAAAATAAATAAAATTAAAAAAAAAGGGGGAAGGTCGCCATCTACATCTGAAAGCTCATCTGGGGAATATAGGTCATTTGATTCAGGTTCCTCTTCAAGTGAACCGGTTAGTTTTCCTGCAGATGAGATTCGAAAATTTATAAAGGAAGTTAACCTAACAATCCTACCTCAGGATAGTGAGAATCCTAAAAAGGGTTTTTTGTACAGCAAAGCCTTGTCGATCTAATTTTTAGGGAATGGAAAAACCCTGAAAAATGTGCCTTTATTTCTAGACACTTCAAGGATATCTTCAGACTGGCTGGCGAAGTGGTTTGGGAAGATCTCCCTAAAGTAGATGTTCAGGTCGCGCAGATTGCTAAAAGGACCACTATTCCTATAGGGGAAACTTCAGCTTTGAAAAATCCAATGGATAAAAGAGCCGAAACCTCGTGTACACGAGCTTACCAGACAGCCGGTTTCCAATGCAGGGCTTTACTGGCAGGAGCAGCGGTTGCCAGAGCAAATAACATCTGGCTAACTACGATGCAGGATGTTTTTTCATCTGACCAGATTAAAGAATTAGACCATTTGTTTCAGAAAATGCATTTTGGCTAATGAATACCTTTTGGACATGTCAGTAATTTAGCATCCAAAACCATGGGCCTATCCTCGGTAGCAAGACGGGCCTTATGGTTAAGGTCTTGGACAGCGGATTCAGTCTCTAAATCAGTCCTTTGCGAACTTCCACTAGAAAAAACAAAGTTATCTGGGGCTCCCTTAGAAGAAATAATTAGACAAATGTCAGAAACCAAGAAAGCGCTTCCGCAAGATAAGAAATTTTCCTGGAGATCAGGATACAGAAATTATCAGAATAAAAATAGAAGATTCTATCAAGAGAGGCTGCAATTTTTTCAAAGAAGGGATAAAAATCATAAATGCGAACAAAAGGGTGATATTAAAAGAACCTTCAGAGATAAAGAGATGTTTTTGACACCAGAAGTGTAGGAAGGCTCCAACAATTTGTTTCTGTATTGGAAAACACCACCAGGAATCCTTGGGTGTTAAACCTTATCCAAAAAGGACACAAGATAATATTTTCAGAAAAACCAAGAACAAAATTTCTAATATCCACATACCAGTATGCAAGGAAATCACAAGCTCTGTTTTGTCAAACCATGCTGCTGTTACGAAAAAGAGTGATAGTAAGAGTGCCAGAAAAACAAATTTTGGGGGGTCTATTCAAGATTATTTCTGGTGCCAAAACCAGACCACTTGTTTCGTCCCATTCTGGACCTAAAATACACAAATCAATTCATCCCCCATCACAGATTTCGTATGGAGTCAATCACGTCGATTTTTCCCCTTTTACAAAGAGGCGACTTTAAAAGATTTAAAGGACACCTATCTTCATGTTCCAATCGCGACCGCTTCAAGGAAATTTCTGAGGTTTGCTATAAAAAAGGGAAGATCCACCGTTCATTTCCAGTTCAGGGCTCTACCATCTGGTCTGTCTTCCGCCCCAAGGATATTTACAAAGATCCTTACTCCTCTAACAGCTCATTTAAGAGAATTAGGGATTTCAATTACCCTTATTTGGACGATTGGCTCCTCATCGCTCATACAGAAGAACAGCTGCACAAGGACCTGCAGGTCACTTTAAGTCTTCTTCAAAACCATGGCTGGTTCTTAAACAGAAAAAAAAAAAATCAGTACTCATCCCTACGAGAGAGTTAGAATTTCTCGGTTTCACGATAAATTCAGTCTACATGTCTATTTTTCTTCCCAAGTGGAAAAGGAGGAAAATCAGAGAAGAAATTTCCAATCTCCAAAGGATGGAAACTTGTTCCTTCAGACAGGCAATGGGTGTTTTGGGTCTTCTAATTGCCACCTTTCCAGCTGTCAAATGGGCAAGGTTGGAGGTCAGACCATTGCAATGGAATATCCTCACTGCCTGGTCAAAAAAGGAGGAAGATTTAGACGAAATCTTCAAGCTATCATCTCATGTAAAAAATCAGCTAGCTTGGTGGAAAATGTCAGAATGCCTTTCAGAAGGTTTGTCTTTTCAACCGAGGGATTGGTTGGCAGTCACTACAGACGCCTCAAGCACAGGCTGGGGAGCTCACTTAGGTTCCACCATGTTCCAAGGAAGATGGTCATCAGAAGAAGCCAAAGAATCCGCAAATTTCATAGAATTGGTAGCAGTACTCTACGCACTACTTTACCTCAGGCCTTGGATACTACAAAAAGCGGTGATGGTACAATCAGACAATCGCACAGTAGTTTCATATATCAATCGTCAAGGAGGAACCAAAGTAAGGAAGTTGTTCGGTCTTTGTGCAGATATTATGCAATGGTCACAAAAAAACCTGGAAGATATCAAAGCAGTTCACATAAAAGGCAGCGACAATATAATAGCCGACTATCTAAGCAGAGGAAAGTGGAACCAAAAAGAATGGTTTTTGAACCCGGAAATCTTCAGTTACGTGACAGAAGTCTTCGGTCTTCCAGAAGTAGACTTGATGGCAAGAGCCTCAAACAAAAAGGTTCACAATTTCGCCTCTTTATGCAGAACGGATCGGCCCAATTGGTTAGACGCTTTGTCAATAGAGTGGAACTTCCACCTAGCTTATGTCTTTCCACCTCTGCCCTTAATTCCGAAGGTCCTTCTCAAGATAAGAACAGACAGAGCGAGGGTTATAGCGATAATCCCATACTGGCCAAACAGTCTGGTTTGTGACTGTAAAGGAAATGACCATCAATTATTGGGAACTTCCCAGATCAAACCTGCTTATTGTGAACCGGGACCTGCCCTTGAAAGTCCTAGAAACGTTCAGGTTGACAGCTTGGCTACTGCAAGGCTAATCCTTCAAAACCAAGGTTTACAAGAAGACAGAATAACAATGTTACTCCACGCAACTAGAAAATCTACTTCTAAGATTTACTTTAGGATTTGGTCTAAATTTCTTCACTGGAGTAAGGAACACCAGAGCCCAGTTTTGTATACATCTATAGATAACATTCTCCATTTTTTGCAAGATTGGTTTTTACCGGGTTTGAGTGTCTCCACACTCAAGGTTCAGATATCGGCCTAAGTTTCTTTCTAATTAAAAATCTGGCCACCAATGTCTTCATCAGATGATTTTTTAGATCCATCAGTCTCAAACGACCTCCTAAACGATCTAGATTTCAAACATAGGATTTAACCCTGGTCCTACAATCTCTTAGTGTCCATCCCTTGGAACCTTTGGAAGAGGTTCCATTAAAAATTTTGTCGCTCAAAGTTTTGTTCCTGGTAGCCATTACCTCAGCAAAAAGAGTGGGAGAACTTCACGCCCTTTCTTCCTCGGATGAGTTCACCATTTTTCACAATGACAAGATGGTTCTTTATCCTAGACCGTCCTTTCTACCAAAAGTATTATCTTCTAAGACGGTTAATCAGCCTATCATTTTACCCTCCTTTTATATCAATGCTACATCTCCTCAAGAGCTCAGATGGCAGAAATTGGACGTCAGAAGAGCATTGTTCGTTTATTTAACAAGAACAAAAGAATTCAGGAAATCAGATCATCTCTTCATTAATTTTCAGGGGCACCTCAAGGGCATGGTAGCTTCCCGGGGTACCTTGTCCCATTGGCTCATTCAGGTTATAGAATTGGCATATTCTTCGGCTGGTTTTCAATCTCCAACTACATTGAAGGCCCATTCAACTCGAGCTATGGCTACTTCATGGGCAGAGAAGTCATTTGCATCCCCAGAGATCATCTGCAAAGCAGCATGCTGGTCATCGTTCAACACTTTTATAAAACACTATCGGCTAGACATATACACTGCCTCTGAAGCAGCTTTCGGGCGTAAGGTGTTGCAAGCAGTAGTGGCCTAAATCCCGCCCAGATGAAGTTTCTTGCTATATCACGTCAGTTACTGCCACCATATGACAAAAAAAAATAAAAATAAAAAATTTGTACTTACCGTAAATTCTTTTTTTCTTAATATGGTGGCAGTACTACTCCCCCCCCAGGGTATTCAATATGGGGTATGTCCAGTCTTTTTTTAGTAGACACTAAGTCACAAAGACTGGCCAAAGTTAGCATTTATATTTCTGTGTTAAAAATGTAAAACACGGCCAACCGTAGCAATATGCTGCGTAAGCCATTGGTATGTTTGCCAGATTAAAGATATCATTCTAACACTTTTATGTTATTTAAAATATATTGTTGTATAGTAATGTCCAATTTCTTTTTCTTGGTCGTTTGTTGACTATATAAAGAAAGAAAAAGGGGGAAAAAAGCACAACAATTATGAACGCATACTTTGGCTAGTGTTTGTGACGAAGTGGCTACTAAAAAAAAAAAAAGAATGAACATAAACCATTTGCAATACCTTGGGTTGTCTTTTGCAAATGTTATGCCATCATGGGTGTAATTCTCATTAAAATCAAGCCTTATATTTGACCCTGTAACTTTCAAAAAAACAAAAACCTGTACATGGGGGGTACTGTTATGGGAGACTTTGCTGAACACAAATATTAGTGTTTCAAAACAGTAACACGTGTCACAACAATATCAGTGAAAGTGCCGTTTGTGTGTGAAAAATGCAAACAAACGTCACTTTCACTGACAATATCATTGCTGTAATAGGTTTTACTGTTTTGAAACACTGTTCAGCGAAGTCTATCGAGTAAAACAGTATCCCCATGTACAGGTTTTAGGGTTTCATGGCAAGTTACAGGGTTAAATACAGTGCTATTATTAACATAATGTTTTTATTTTACAGCAGCAGGGAGACTGCCTGTCAGTTTAGGCAATCCCCCTGCGTCCATAGTGGGATTGCCTCATCCCACTATGGACGCCTATCGCGGCCAAGTGATCGCTCTTTAACAGCGATCACATGGCCAGTAGGGACCGTTTGGGCTCTCCACCCAGGACCGGGAGCAACACCGATCACCGGCGCGGGAACAGCGGCGATTCGGAAAGTAATATGGAGGTACCTAGTATGTCCACGGTCCTTAAGGGGTAAAACAACTGCACTTGCCAATGCATTCTCTTTGTTCTATAATTATAATGTAGCTATTTCAAGGCATCTGTTCTCATTTTATGTGGTTACTTAAAAAAAAAAAATTAAATCGCCATTTATCCCCCCACCCCCACTATGACTAGACAGCCACTTTTGGAGAGACCTGTCTTACTGCAAAGTCTGACCCCAATTCTTTTCTTCCCATGCAAGATGTTGCCTGGTTTAGAACTTACAAACATTGTAGGCCCATACTGGAAAGCACTGGGTACTCCAGGCACGCCAGCATAGTAAGGTAATCCAGTGTAACTGTAGCCCGGTGGCAACGTTGGGTTCAGGAAGGGCTGCTGAGCCGTATGGTGTGTCTGAGTTTGGTTCTGCTGAGGTTGGGCCAGTGTTGTGGCAGGAGCAGGAGAAGCAGAGTCTGCTCTGCCAAACTTTGCTACATCACCTGTAACACAACAGGTTACAGTCAGAAATGAAAAACTTTGCAAGACATGAGAAAATGAGGACAGTATCAGATCAGAGACAGTTATGGGGTGAAGATGGAGCCAAATATCCGAACATACAAATTTCTATACAATACATATGCACACAATTTTGTCCTCTTTGTTGCGTCTTTTGTATAGTATTAGTGGACTATACATTAAAAACAAAACCCACACCAATCTTCTACTACTGTTTATGTACTTTCCAAGTTTTAATGGGTATTAACCCCCCATATTTTACTCACTATTACTCCTTTAGACATTGTTTAAATGTTACAGCCTTTATGCTCCTTTTCTAGCAGACAACTCAATACACCTGGAAGTGATTTAACCAAAGAAACATCTCTAATACTGGACCTTCGATATGGAGGAACAGAGACTGCGATCTCCAAGAAAAAAAAAAAAAAAAAAACAACTCAAATGTAATGTTCCAGGATACAAAATGTAAAACATCATTAAATACAAATTCCATTCACTGACATTTGTTTAATTCCGTAATATTTTCTGTATCTTTTATAAGAAAACTTCTAGTTAAGTTAAATATTCAAATAACATTTATCAACCTGAGTATGGGTTACTTGCAAGGCCTCCATCTCTGCCAGTCAGCGTAGCAGGAGCTGGGAATGTAATTCCATAGTAATCCTAGGGGAAAAACACAAAACAAAAACGATTATACTCAGAAGTGTAAAGCTTCCTTACGTGCCTCCAGAGTAATACATATGAGCACTCACCATTGGGAGCCTTGATTGCAGCATTTGGAGATCATCATATCCGTAAATCTGCTTAAAGATAATGAGAAGGAAAACCATAAGCCAATGGAAGTAAAAAAATAAAAATTTTCTGAATTTGGATTGTTCTACAAGATATCCTACAATTTTCACAAAGCCCAAAGACATGCTTCAGTGACAGCCCTATATTTTAGTTTGGGAATACAGTAGATCTGCCAATTTAAACTTACTAACAGGGATATTTAATGGGACATTATATGCACCCAGACTACTTCATCTCATTGGTCTGGGTACAGTGTCCCTGTAAAACATTGCAGTTTCATATAAACTGCAATATTTACATTGCAGTGTTAAGACGGTCCTTAATGGCGGTCTCCGAGAGAGCCACTAGAGGCACTTCGTGCATTTACATGGAGATTAACTTCTTCCCTATTGTCAAAGTCAGAGGAGACAGAGCCAGCGCTCAGGGTTTAACCCCTTAAGGACACATGACGTGTGACATGGCATGATTCCCTTTTATTCTAGAAGTTTGGTCCTTAAGGGGTTAACCCTTTCCACACACTGGGGTGAATGGGAGGTGGACAATAGTAGCTTTTGTCCACCTTTACCAATACTTTTGTATTGTAACACTATGGTGTTCCTTTAAATGCTGTATAGTCTCACGTTAATGATTTTCAAAGTTAGATTACTACAAAGTATTCAACTGCACCTATGGTCTACAGTGTAGAATAAAAAACCTCTACAGATATAATTTTCTCTGACTAATTATGGTCCAACAGTCTATATCAAACAAGGAAATAAAAAACCAAACCCTCTAATAATCAGTGGCCAAACAATTGCACTCCAGACAAAATGATCATTGCTTACTGGGTAAGCGGGAAGAAGCCCTCCAGGTCCTACAATATACTGGTTGTGCAACAGCGGGGGGACACCCTGAGGAAGGTTCGGAGGTGCTTTTCCTACAAAAATAAATAAATGATAATTAATTCCTGTCAATACATTCTGTTAGACCTAAAAGTGTTTGTTAGTTCCTATGAAGTGCCCAAGACGTCTCGTCTGCATTAGCTCTTTAAAGAGGAACTTAATTTCTTTCATAGGAATAGTTTCCCATTCCCTCAACCTTGGGGCTGTCCTTAACAAGGACAATGAGTAGCAGAGGCAAGTATAAATCACACACTTAGGTGTGAATGTAGAGTTAATTTGTTTTTTAAAATATAATTTGTTTTATCATTGTTCATCATAGACAAAAAAAAAAAAAAAATTAGCATTATATGCTTTGGCTGTGCTAGGACCGCATGGTATAAAAATAAACAGACTTTTACAAATATGAGAACTGAGAAGCATTTGATTGGACAGAAACTTCAGCAAGCCTGCATTTAAACTTTTACCTAGTTGTAATCCAGCATTGAGACAGACAACTTATTTTATTCTTTTTCAGATCCTCACTAGCATACTGTGGTAAAAATGTGTATATTTATTTCTTTAAAGGGATGGGAGAATAAAATAATGCTTTAAATGGCCATATAAATATACTGCACCTTCCTGGTGACACGTTACTTTCATACAAAGTTAAAGCTGTATGAATAGTGAGGCATAAGAGACACTAAAAGGACACCATGACACTGCCATGATACTGCTCAATAGAGAATTGCATTTCAGTTTTTCAATGTAATGGCAAAACTGCCAGACACAAAAATACTACAAATATGGCGATCACAGGGGACTGCTCACAAATTACCCCTGTCCACCTGACATTGAGGCACATGATGTTTGGAACCATTTTGGTGTGAAGGTGATGAGCGTACAATAGCCACATCCATTTCAGAAGGCAGTCCTGCAAGTGGAGGAAGTCTCCAAGTATTTACCTTTTAATCTATCCTTTACCATTTGCATAGGGAAGCATTAATGGAATGTAAGCTTGTCTGAGCATGGTCCTCATCTATAGATTGCTGCTGTAACATTTTGTATGTCTCACTTGTTACAATTTCCCCGTTTCATAATATTGTTAAGCCCTGCGGAATAAGTTGTCGATCTAAATATCAATAATAAATTAATCTATATTTTGTTGGCAGTAAAAACTTTCATACAGATTTTTGACTGGCCAGATTAATAAAAGAAATATTACTAAACAAGTAATAAAACTATATGTGCATTGCATTCATCCACTTGTGTACAGTGACTGATCTGCTTAACTACAAGTGTCTCTTTTCTGACAAATTACATTTATATATTTGTAATTAACTTATTGTACATCTGACACGAAAGAGCAACATTTCAAATTTGTAAAATAACGTAATGTTAACTCCGTAGTCACTTCAGTTTTCAAGGCCCATACAGTCTACTCAAAATGACTGTCAGTTTGCAAGAACGCATACAAAAAAAAAAAAATAATGATCTTCATGTACTTTTTAAATAGGTGTTTTTGCATATAGCCAAGGTAAACCTAGCCAACACCAATGGAATGACATGCAGTCTTCCAAAGCCTTTCAAATCTCCTTACTTTGTTTGAATTACTGTTATTTTATGGTTAAAAAAGAGAAAATTATTGATGTGAACGGAACACCTTACATTCACATTTAGTGCCAGAAACCTAACCCTTAAAAACTTGTTTGTTTAAAAGTGTTGCCCTCTACAAAAACCACAAGCCTTGATCAAAGACCTGTGTTTTCTTAGTAGATATAACATTTACATTGGCTAGTCTATCATAAAGACAACCAGCTTTTTGATAATTTATGATCAAGAAGTGCAGTTTGTCAGATTTAAACCACTGCAAGCAGGATTATAGTAGAATTCCAGTAATCATCACCTGAAGATACTAATGGGGCAGTCCGCGTGGTTGCTGCTGGCATGCTGACACTTGGCGCACTAAGGCCCAGACTGTTCGTAGAGTTCATACTGCTAGCCATGCTGGCTACTGAAGAGGTGGTGTTGGCAACCGATGTTTGAGCTGTAGTGAAGGTTGTGGCAGGTTGGAGGGTCACTGTGTTCTCTACACTTGTGTGCTGTAAAAATAACATAGCAAAAACATGCTGTGATTTAAACATAATTAACATGCAAACCATTAGGACCATACGGGGATCATGCACAGCACTGGTATAATTGTTTAAACAAATGTGTGGTGCTTTATAAAAATTATTATTTTTTTTGAATCGGTTTCATAAATATGCACCGCTTTAAAAGTTGGACTCAAAGAAATCATTATGCGCTACTTACTGCATGAGAGGCCGAAGAGGACAGCACTGATGGTGCAGGAAGGCTGTTTTGGTGCCCGGACAAAGTGCTAAGAATAGAGGGAAGAAGGGTAATTATTAGGATATCATTTTACTGAATAGAAGCCACATACTATGGCGGTCACTTTAGAGTTGGAGTCAATGTGCAGCACTAGGATTGGTAACATATATAAGGCCACTAGCATCTAAGGAAAGACTCAGTTGACAGATATCAACATACTGATTAAATATCCTCTGATATGTGCTTGGAATTATAACATCATTGTCTTTCCGGACATAAAGGGTTTCTAAATCCAGGCCCTATTAAAGTCAATAATACGTTTACGGACAGGGAACTTTGGCGCAGTGAATGTGACATGAGACGTAATTATCTCACACAGTTTATGACCAAGTTATAACTACCATGAAGTATGTCATATTAGCAGAATGGCACACTTCCATTGAATGTTATGACTTAACCAGAACCATGGTAACATTTACCCATCCCATGGCAAGAATTTAAAAAAGGCACCTGTAACTTCGTTTAAATGGATCACCAAAACCCACTACATCATGCAATAGTTGTGATGGTGCTTTAAGTGTTCCTTTAAATACAACTAGCAATGAAGAAAACTTTTATTTTGTTAGAACAGTCACAAATTAATGTTACAGGTCAGGAAAGCATTACCTGTTGAGCTGAGACAGAGAGTTGCTTGTGAGGTCACTGGGCTGCGGTAAGCTGGGCAACGTTACAGCAGATGTATGCTGAGATACTGGTGGGAGGAGAGATGCAGAGCTTGAAGATACACTGGAACCAACAGAGGAGAGGCTGGGGGCAGACGTCTCAGACTTCACAGATGGGACAGAGGGACCAACTGCAGGAAGACGACAAAAGAAACTTGTGTTACTTAGATTAAAATCAGCTCCAGTTAAAGTGAAGTAAATCAGGCATCGTTTCTTATAAAGAAAAAAACAAAAAACAGAAACTCTACTTAAGGGGTACCTATAGTACCCAAAATAATTGTGCAACCCTTAAATAGTGTTTTTCTCTATTTACTTAGTATGGTCAAATAAATAAATTCTTCACTGGAAACGTCTACATTAAGTAATTGAATATATAAATATTACATTGCATATATTTACCATAGAGGGAGATTAACTGTAAATGAAATAAAAAGCAGCATATGTGACTAAATCTGGGAAGCATCAGCAAATAAAATTGGGTTTTAAAGTCTTAGCCAAAGTCTAAGGCTGTGATACGTTTGGAAAGCTGCTGGGGCTTTTGTGTAAGGTTCCATATACTGATGGCTTCGGACATCTGAATTTTATTGTATTGTACACACAACACTGTATATGCTCTAGGTTTGTTTTCTTTTTCACATTTTTGCTTTTACATGTTAACATTCTCAGTTTCTAGAGCGGTCCATTAAAAGTGGATTTTTAATAAGAAGTGTATGAACAATGTACAACTCTGACTATGTGGCTTTTATAACATATCTGAGCCCTGCTTTAAAAAAAAAAAAAAAAACTAAAAAAAACTTCATAGCTGTTGGCGGTTTCCTGAAGCAGCTCAAAGGCCAAGTAAATGTGTAAGCTCTGTCATTTTGGATTTCCACATTTAATTTGGATAAAATACATTGTCCTTATGTGTCTCAATGGGTACACTGTAACCCATTTTAAAAGGTAAAGTTATAGCAAGATCTTAAACACACCCTGGCTGGCAACATCAGTGCAAAGCACACCTACCATTCATAGACTGTGGTGCCCTTATTCCATTGTGCCCATTCTAGGAAAGCAAGAAACAAGAATTCAGATTATTATTAACATTTATATAGCACCAACATACTGCACAGTAATATATGTCATTGGAGAGGAAAAGAACAAACATTCCTATTAATTTATTGAAAGCTACTCCACAACCTATTTTACTAAAGTATGACAATATAAAAGCACTGACCCTTTAAAAAGATCTGGACAGTACAAGATCATAGATACTGGCTTGTGTGGACAAGAAATCCGAATCACATACTCTGTCATAGTACAAAGCATAAGGGACATTCTGATTTTCCAAACTAATCCTACACATACGGGATCAAGGCAAATGTATCTTCAATAATCTAGCAAGCTGTCCTAAGAACTCTAAGGCAGGAGTCCTAGGCTTTCATTTTCTGCTCTACACGGTCACTCCTTAAATACAATGTTTGTTTTTGTGACTCATTACACACACGAGCTGGATCAACTTGGGTATAACAACCCTCTTACAATTTATTTATATTCAGAAATGGCTACAAATTTACTTACCGTGACCGGCACCACATCCACTGGCGGCACGGTGGTTTGGTATGCTATCCTGCTGTGCACAGATGTCTGGTCATAGGAAGAGCAGGAGACGGAGGCAACCGGACTGCTGCTCTGTGAGGAGTTATTGAGGCTGGAAGTGCTGCTTACGGACGCAGTGTAGCTAGGCTCTTGCGACGTACTGGATATTGGCAGAGAGGTATTAAGAGAGTCACTGAAAAGCAAAGAAAGAATGACATTACCCATACAATATTATGTTACACAAAGCTTCTATTAAATTCCAGAAGAAATGAGTACTAGTACTATGTGCAGGATTTATGAAATTATATTCATGGTGCTCCAAACAAAAGCTTTGATTGGTGTTTTTACTTCTAACCCACTTACCTGATGTTTTTGGAATACAAGTTATTTGGTGCTTGACTCAGGCTATCTGGGCTTACACTTGAAGCAAACTCCGTCAATGAGGGGTCTGAGCCAAACTCCAGGGCACCAAACTGCACATTTAACCCGGTGACGTCAGCAGATCCGGGCATCTCTACAGCAGATGCAGGAATCTGGAAGTGGATCATAAGTTGAAGTGTGGCACACATAATGAATGATACACTATGATATTTGTCATGTTTACAGACTCATAAATGGGTAGCTATTTTCCACAGGTGGGACAACTCCTGTATAACTCATAGGTAGAAAACCGTGAATGGGTATAGAGTTTGTGTGCGATGGAGGGACAATGAAAAAAGCAATTCCCATGAGCAGGGGGAAGCAAAATTAAATACTTTTACTACTAAAAAAGCAGATAGTCCAGAACACTCAGAATCATTAGTTTCCACACAATAAATGTCAGTTATGTGCTTGGACAATAAGCATCACTGTGTTCTGGAGTTCTGGATTTAAAAAATAAATTTAGTGCATTAAACTAAAACAAATTCATTATTCGGCAGTCCACAAAAGTTTCCATCAGTCAAAGGAAGTTTTTAGAGAAACTCAAATAAGCATTTAGAACATGGAAATTGTCCAATTAGAATATGCTCGCTTTTATAAATGGCATTTTTTTTCTGTAGAATGCCTAAATAGTATCAAAGAGCAAGTTGATTTATACAGTAAATTATATACAAGGACCTTCACAGCACTGTTTAGAAATGTTGCATGCATAAATGGATCAAGATTTAAATCAGTTTTACAGGAACACTCCAAGCGCCATAAGGACTAGAGTGTGCTATATTGGTGTCAAACAGGTATGCCGAACACAAACCATTTGCTAACCGTGTCACAGCTTAGTGGGGTTTTGCCTAGTGCAACTTCATGCCTGTCCATTTCAGGTACTGAGATTTTGCATTACATTTACACAAAGAAAACTCCTTACGAAGTCTCCCATGTTTAAAAGTGACCGTTAAAATAAAGTCCTGATTCTTAATTAAGTCTTTGATTTCCCCATCTTAAGGAAGTTCTATGTTACAATATGCCTAGCATAAAATCTTGATTTAAACACCTTTTTCAATATGGAAAAGCAGATGGGCACCTTTGATGTAGGAGGCGTTCTCCGTTTCTGAGGTTTCATCAGTTTCTGCTGCTGGGTTTGTACAGACATAGCCTGGGTATCCAAGGACAAGCTGGGCAGCTGCAGCATTTTACTGACGGCTGTGGAGTTGTCCACTGGTGAGGTCTCATGGAGCTTTACTTGGGTTGAGAAACTTTCAAGGCCAGGAGGAGGGGTGGGCACAGTTTGCATCTGATGTTGCTGTCGCTGGGCAAGTTGACTCAGCACTGGAGATGGCTCAGGATGGGATTTAAAATCTGAAAGAAAGCCATAACCATTACGAATAAAAAAAAAAAAAACGAAAAAAATAAAAAAACACACAACCCCCCTTCCCCTCCAAAACTAAAAATAAAGGGCATTATAAAATAAAAACAGACAAAGGGTTTGAGTAAACATTTTTAAATACTTTACAAAAAAAGCAGACAAATCCAGAGCACTCAGAATAAGTTGTTTCCGCACAATAATGTCAGTTATGTGCTTGGATAATAAGCATCACTGTATTCTGGATTTAAGAAAACAAAAATGTTTGTTATATTTAAGAGGACCAGCTACATACAATATAATTAACCAAATAATCAAAGACATTTCAAAACCGAAAAATATACAGCGATATCAGTTGACTGCCAAACAATGAATTTATCATTGGAACCTAAAGGAGTCATTGAAAATGAATACATAATTTAGAACATTTATGGAGACTGTTCAACTCCAACATCCTCAGTTTCATGAAAGTGATTATTCTGTAAAATTCCTAAATAGTATTAGAGCTACTAAGAGTGCTCTGTAAGGGATCAGAGGAGTAGAATTTCTGACTGAAATAATTTACTTAAATTGGAGCACATCAGAAAGGGTTTCTTACCGAATTGACTGAGAAGGGCTGACTGCGGCGTGGGTTTTATATCCCATGAGGAAGATGGATTTGTACTGCTACTCTGTTGAGCGCTCTGGGCTTGGAACTGCCCCAACCCTGGGCCTTTCAGCTGTTCAAGTATTTGAGATCCTGCAGAGTTTGCCGGCTTTGAAGACCCCAGTTCACCAAACCCAGAACCCAGGACAGAAGACTTAAAGAAAGATTGATATAAGACTGTTACAATTAAGAATATGACAAATACTTCACACAAACGTACATCTGTATTTAAAAGTATTAAAAGCATATCAAAGTATTAAAATCACTTTTTGAAAGAAATTTCAAACAATAAATGTAACTCATAGGATTAGGTGATGTGTAGTGTCCCACAAGGGAAAACCAACATCAGGAGAGCTCCACTGTATAAGAAATGAGGAAGGGAGCCCCTACCTTTAATCAATCTAAGGATAAAAAAGGGATAAGCAAACAAAAAGTATAACTTGGAAAAAAGGGAGATCTACTAAACGGTGCCCAGGGGATCAATTGTCTGGAGTACTAGCTAGCATCTAAGTTTCAGTTCCCCTAGTGTCCGACTGACAGGAAAGTAGTGTAAATGAGGTTTGGGAGAGAGAAGAGGCACAGGGTCCCCAATTATTTATTTTGCGTGTGAGGCTTTTCATCTGCGTTTAGACCTTATTACTCGGTCCCTTGTTCTCTGGGGACCCTGTGCCTCTTCTCTCTCAATCTCATTTACACTACCTTCCCGTCAGTCGGACACTAGGGGAACTGAAACAGATGCTAGCTAGTACTCCAGACAATTGACCCCCTGGGCACCGTTTAGTAGATCTCCCTTTTTCCCAAGTTATACTTTGTTTGCATATCCCTTTTTATCCGTAGATTGATTAAAGGTATGGCCTCCCTTCCTCATTTCTTATACAGTGGAGCTCTCCTGATGTTGGTTTCTCCTTGATGGACTCTACACATCACCTACATATTTTGGAGGGTTACCCCCTCATTGGAGCTCCCTATTAGGTGGTTACAGTGGTGCAGCTCATGAGCCCTTGACTTGTAGCCGGACTCCTGACCTGCACTCTGTTTACTTTATTTCTCCAATAAATGTAACTCCTAATTCCCCTTTAAAAAGATACTATAGTTTCCAAAACAACTTTAGCTTAATGAAGCAGTTGTGTCTTAAAGGAGCACTCCACACCCATAGAGCACTTCACTTTTCTTAATAGCTATATGGATGTGGAGTATTCCTTTAAAATCCCAGTTTATAAAAGTGCCAATTATATATGAAAATAGAAACGCCTCACCAGCTGTTAAACAGCTACGGAGATTCACTTCCTACTTCCGTAGCAGCAGTAGCAGGCATGTTCTAAAAGTGTGCCTGCAAGAACTGCCCAGGTGACAGGCAGGAGGGAAGCACTCCCCTCCTGCCTGTCCTTTCTTGCAGCGTCTGTCTCCCCTTCCCGTGTCAGAGCCTCCCTCTCCTCCCCTGCTGACCTTTAGTTTACTCTACCCAGACTGACAGGACGTGTTTTCACTTCCTATCAGTCCTAGAGGAAACTAGAGCTCATCTACCTACAGATAGGAACTAAAGGTTCGCAGGCCGGGGAGGGGAAGCTCTGACGCCGGGGAGGGGAAGCTCTGACACTGATTTAACTCCTAAATGGCAGAGAATTGAGCAGTAAGAGTTCAGGGGCATGAGCTATACACCAAAACTGCTTCATTAAGCTAAAGTTGTTTTGGGGAACATAGAGTCTCTTTAATTTTCAGCAAACCTCCAGTCATTATTCAAGTCATGACATTATCACCCAGAAGGATTGATTGGAAAAGTGTGACTGCTCCTCTACAGATGTAATTTTTTTTTACATTTCATTAGAATTAAAGATACAATCCAGAGAACTCAGATTTTTTGTTTCCACACCATAAAGTCAGCTATGTGCTTGGAAAAATAGGCATCATTGTTTTCTGGATAGGACTCTTTAATATTGAATGGAACATGGCCATATTAAAAAAAAAAAACTACACCAAACAAAACAAATAACCTTTACTCTCCTCCCAGGCAGTTAAAATAAAACAAAGAAGAGGTGCAATAAATAGGGTCAGATGATATTAGGCATGTCTGCCCAATATAACCGGTGGATCTGTGAGAATCTGTGATCCTGACACTTGACAAGTTCAAGAAAGTTCTGACAGGAAATTTGCTGCAACTTGAAGGATGGCCATTAGCAAAATCAGATAAACGTCATAACTAAAATACAACATTCCTTCTAACAAACCACAGTAGGTAAAGTTACCAGGGGAAAGTGGGAGGGCAGAACATAAAATGCAGCAACTGTATGGTTTAATTAGAGCTGCAATGCAAATAGAGTTTATTTACCAGGCTCTGCGGAGGATAACTGTTAACAGCCGCTGAGCTGTTGCTTGCAGGCGTCACCTGTGAACTGTGCTGGGAATTGGTGAATACTAACGCCTGGCCAAAATTCTGCTGGGAAGCGGGATCAAAACTCACAGAATCCGGGTCAGTACTTGAGGGAGGCTTTTGAAGGAGAGCCACCAAATCAATGCTAGATAAAAAAATAAAAAAAATATATATTAAACATGGCATCTGGAATGATGCTTTGCAACTACTGCCCTGAGTCACAACACAAAAAAAGAGGGAAACACTGATTAAAAGGGACTTAAAAAACCCACCAAATTACACCAATATGCTGGAGAACTTAGGTATTCAAATATATATGAATTTAGAGAGCCGACTGCGAATAAGAAGCGATTGACCTTATAAGGGAAGAAAACATGAGTGTCACATTTATTCTTACATGACAAAAAAAACAGCCAGTGAGTGAACTCGTTTAAGATATACACAGCATTAGGTCTCCATTTTTATATGGATTATGTTATCAAATACATTCTTGCACCTTTGGTGCTCAGTGATGTCCCTTTTAGCATTATTAATCCTTACAAGCTGGATATCAACTCTTGTAGTGCCCACCCCCCTCCACCTTTAGCTGAATGAAGCTAACAAGTTAGAAAACCAGTCTTCGAAAAAAAAAAAAAAAAAGATCCACCATAGCAAAAACTTATAATTGAAAGTATAGTACCTCTGTCCCGGAGTGATGTGGTTTTCCGTAGGAACAGAAGACGCAGTAAAAACTTTTGTTTCAGAAAGCTGCAAAAAAAGTAAAAGTGTTACTCAATCGGTCACAAAAGCAAGAGGAATATTTAAAAAAAGAGAGATGGACATATATTTGAGTATAGAACAAAGATTGTTGTTATATCTGCCAAATGATATGCAAGGACTGTGTCTGAGTAATATTAGTCATGACAGGTTCACTTTTCTTGCTCACATTTAATTTATCCTAAATATAAATGATACATTGCATTAACCACTATCTGACTGGTCTGGAAGCATTTCATAGAGCTATGTGCTCCTATATGGACACACAGAACCAACTAAAAAAATAAAAAAAGAGAAAAAACTCTGTGCAGGCAAAAGATCAAGGACCAGAATAAGGACAGGATACCTTCAGTCGTTGTTTAAATCATAACATTATCAACACAACTTTCAAAACCAGAAATACTGATGGTAAAAGCAAGACTGTTCAACATAAACAAAATAAAAAAAAAGAATAAAAAAAAAAAAAAAGTTTAGGACTAAAGATACAATCCAGAGAACTCAGATTTGTTTTTCTCCACACCATAAGGTCAGCTATGTGCTTGGAAAATAAGCATCATTGTTTTCTGGATGTGATTTTTTTGCATGCAACATGGTAGCCTAAAGAAAGTTTAGATATCAAAAATAAAAGCGGAAGAGAGAGCCAGAAGAATCATTACTACATGTCATAGTGGTTATAGTGACAGGCTACAGGTACTATACCCTGGTTCCTGGTCAAACTGTTTATTTAGCTTAACTAAACCTGGGAGCTCATTAGCAACATGCAGTCCTGGTCCTGAAGTTACTAATGAAGTTCTTCACCCACACTATCAATATTAATTTAATCACTTTAAAATATGGATGAAATTAGAACATGGCAGGCTGTGTCTTTGTTGCCACAGTGACTTTCGGTGTGGGTCAAGCTGTTCCAAAAGTGTTTAACCCCTCAAGGACACATGACATGTGCGATATGTCATGATTCCCTTTTATTCCAGAAGTTTGGTCCTTAAGGGGTTAAAGGCTTACTCCAACTCTTTTTGGCTAAACTATTTTTCCGCGTTTCTAATGTCAGATTGTGCATTATGCACTTTGTGCCCCTTAATTTTGGAATTAACTTGTAAAATAATAAACCTACCTAGAATCCACCACCTGATTAAGCTCCCCAACTGGTCTTTCTGAAGTAACTCCTTCCCTCGACGTGGTCTAATGAAATGCTTCTCAGAAGAATTTGATTGGACCACTCTCAGCCTCAGTGGGGAGAGTGAACAGTGGAACAGATGCACATTAAGGACTTTAGGGAGGCAGAGAGGCTTAAAAGAATATAGGGCAATCAAGGCTTCATCCCCTTGCAGGTGCAATCTCAGCAGCTCATATTTCTTGCCCAAACACTGTTGACCGATTAATGTTTGCACAGATTTAACATTAGAGAGCCCAGAACTCTACCTAACTCACGTTTGCCATGTGTAATTTGCTCTTGGCACAAGCATGCCAATTACTCTATGTGCAGTGTGAAAAAAATAATGCACAGATTCCCAACACCAAGACCACTTCTAAAAGCAGATGTGACCATGATGTTTGGAATAATCATTTAACCAAGAATCAGGGGAAGATGCCCACAGCCTGATGGCACCATAATTACTACATCAGTCTAGACAGCTCATTTAAAGGACAAATGACAGAAGAGTTTCATATTTGTCAGGAACCCAATATCACCACAAGACAAATATAAACTTACATCTTCGTTCCACTCTTCTGCGGTCCATTCTTCCATGGAATTCCTCCAGGCACCTTTAAACAAAGTAGGAAAATGGAAAATGTATTTTCACAAAAAGCAATGTTTAAGTGGTCTTGCGTGAAGCAAGTTTCATACACCAACATAAACTTACATTTCTTACAAGATATACTAGCAGAAAAAAAAATAAAAAGAGAAAGTAGCATAAAAATGATATACGTGTACCTGTGTTAACGTGATAAAGTCTAAAACTATTTCAAGGGTCACTGACAACCCTAATTATATATGCTTAGAAATGCTGCAATTGGACGAAAAATATATTAACACACAACTAGGTAAAAGTCTCTCCCCAAGATCTCAGACATCCAATTAGGAATTTTACTACCTCTTAGCTGGCTAAGCTCTGTCTGACTAAAACACACACTTAGAACAGATCTATGTTCTTCAATAGTGATGTCCCGAACGGTTCGCCACGGATGGCGAACATATGCGCTGTTCGGTCCGCTCCCTATTCGTCATCATTGAGTAAACTTTAACCCTGTACCACAGTCAGCAGACACATTCCAGCCAATCAGCAGCAGACCCTCCCTCCTCCTGGACAGCTCACTAAGAATGCAGCTTCACAATGAATGTAAAATGGATGCTGTCCAGGAGGAGAGAGGGCATGGGAGGGAGGGCATGGGAGGGAGGGTCTGCTGCTGATTGGCTGGAATGTGTCTGCTGACTGTGAGGTACAGGGTCAAAGTTTACTCAGTGATGACACAGGGGGCGGACCGAACAGTGCATAAGACTTAAAGTCTTACGTAGAAAACACTTCATTAAGTAATTATTGTGTTTGCAAGCTCACAACATTAACAGGGTCATGCTAAATAAAGAACAAAATGATTTAAAAAAGTGTTTGTGATATTACATTTACCAGTTCCATCGTCGCCATCACTCTGACCCGTCTCCCAAACCTCTGGTTTGGCTCCAAAGCCATCGCTAGCAGCTGGTTCAGTGTAATCCGCAGGATTAAAAATCCTAGAAGAGAGAATATGGCATATCAAAAGAATGATTAACATATACACACACGTCCTGATGAAAGCTTGACGATATTGAGCTGGAACATTGAGGTTTGCTTTTATGTGAACCCAATAAAAGTTATATTTTACTACAAGTTCAAGACCTGGGAGTGCCATCTACCATCTAAACTGTATTAATTTGCTGTACAAGCACCAGGCAATAACATTGGAGCACATAGAGGCCAAGAACACATTGGTTTGAGTTTACATACATACATGGTTGTCCAATTAAGTGGGTGTTACAGGGTTAATTTATTGAAATCTGCAACAAAAATTATTTATTTATATGGTCACACTTTTCACACCTAAAGCACTTTAACAAGCGTGTGGAGTGCTCCTTTAAGAGTAGAAATATTTCCTTGGCTTTCTATTGAGTACACAATGTGAAAGGAATTATGAGTACAATGTACTACCAGGCCAAGTTTCTCCAGCTTCATTATGGAGTAAAGGAACAGTATAGGTCCAGGAACACAAACATTAATTCCTGACCCTATAGTTAAAACCAGAATGGATTAGCTCAGCCAATTCAATGCCTTCACAGGAAAGTTCAGTGATGAGTAAAGTTTAGCGTCTCCAAGGAGAGTGTGGAGACGCCGAATGGCAGTGCTCCACTGCCCTTGGAAGCCCCTTTAGTGGCCATCTGAGGAGTGGCCACTGGAGGTGTACCCAGGCTTTAATGTATGTGTATCTGTTTGTATATGTATACCTGTGTGTCTATCATTCTGTGTAGCGGTTTATAAGTGTGAGTATGTGCATACATTTCAGCATTCAAACATTAAGCAAAAATACACCCCTGCATTCAAATTACACAAGTAATACACTGCTTTCAAATGGAAAGTACATAAAAACACAGCACTACACCCCTACATTCACACACATACTCCATACAAAAACATGCTTCCATTCAAACACTGCTCAGTCCTAAGTACAACCCTGCAATAACACTTTCACCAGCCATTATCACCCGAGGGGCGCAAAGTCCAAGTGACTGGCAGAAGAGGAGTGCATAGCACTCCTGACAGTCAATTAATTTACTATAGTCAAGCTTTGCCAGCACCTCCGTCTGGTCCACCGGCTCTGGAACAGGCCGTAGCCTGTATAAAGCTGGAGGGGATATAAATCGCCTAATATCCTTGCTCCCTTTATTCCACACAGCATGGCAGAGCCTTAGTGTTGAGGATGGGCTGAGAGGAGCAGCAAAATCAAGGACTGCCCCGGGAGGAAAGAGGTCTAGCTACGCCTTCCACTGCTGACTGGGGGGAGTGGGGGAGAGACTTGCTTATTTCGCAAGTGTTAGCCTTTAAGTTTGACATGCTTAAACTACAATGAGCTGTAGTTTAGTTGACTATAGTGTCCCATTAAAGAGTCACTTCAACCCACACAGAGTTTAAAGTGAACAGAAAATAAATAATTAACTCCACACATGACTGCACACAGATACCTACCCCATGCCTTGTGCAGAAAATCTCCCTGACCCTCTGCCTCTGCCACGTCCTCCAAATCCTGTACACAACAAAAGAATGTAGTGTTCAAAAATACACTCAATTTAGAGTTCTCTCTTTATTCCCAGCATATGCTTGGAAAGTACCTCTGCCACGGCCACGTCTTGCGCGATCTGAGGTTCTGTCACCAGGGCCATTGTCCACTCCATTTTCTTCTGCTCTAACTGCATGGAGCAAAAGCCATTAGTAAGCAGATCACACATGAAGTATAGGTCAAGATAAGAAAATAAATCCCTTACACTCTCTGCCACGGCTTCCTCCACGGCCTCGTCTGCTTGAAGTTCCACGGCCACGACTCAATTCTCGATCCCCTTTCTTTTCCCTGTTTTCTTTATTTTCAGAACTCTCCTTTCCAATGCTCTTCTTTTTACCACCAACAGTCTCCCAAGAGGCCTAAAAAAAAGGTAGCAAAGTCAGGAAACCACAGATGTACACATTTTCACAAAGGGCACATTGGAGCACAGTATCTTGAACCAAGGCTTGGTCCCGACTCTTGCTAGATAACCACTTCCAATACTGTACAAAAACGAAATGGACACAAGAACAGGTAAAACTTCAAACTTACTGTGTCAGAGTTTCCTTCCAGCAGAATGTTTATTGCCCTGTTCACATCACCGTTACAGTCATGGAGAGCCACCATACACTCATCTTGATTCTTCCCTGTTACTTCCATTAGCTGCAGAAATCAAAATGGAAGGAATCATAATTTGTCCAACACCAGCAATAATACAGTGTAATAGCCAACAGACTTCTAATGTGTATAAAATTACAAATGCAGATGAAAAATGTCTAGGTGTTCAGGAGGCCCAACAGATATTTTGGCGAAGAGAAATTACTTTTAACAATACTGATGTGTTTCTACACAAAGTAATAAATTCAACACACAGATTAACATGCATTAGCCTATCAATGTCCAAATCTAAGCATGTGCTTGAATAACAACAGGAGTGACAGTTTGTAGAAACTCATATGTACACTGGATAGTTAAAGGGATACTACAATGCTAGAAATACAAAGTTGTATTCCTTGCACTATAGAACCCTCTGTCCCCCACACTGCAAGGGTTTTAAAAAGCGCCACAGTCATGCAATACAGTGTGCGTGATAATCCGTGTAAAGGTAGTCAATCACCTATACTGAAAAACAACTCCCAACACTGGGACAAGAATTTACCATTTTTGTCACTGTTCGACCCTTTAGGCTGAAACATGCTTTTCTCTGTTATTACGGATCGGCTGAATTTTAATGTTTTGAGACCTGGAAGTATCTACTGTGCCTTGCCATGAGATCTGGGTATCTTCATATACAAGACCGCACCTTACAAGACCTGCATGTCCATCCGCAATGCCAAACCAAATGTTCTGGCTAAAATTTCTTCACTTTAATAAAAAATTATTTACAAAAAAACTCTTACTGTACTCAACCGATTTCAGCGCAGATTTCCCTTGGTGCAGGGTCGGCTCCTCCTAAATTGCAATAATTAACATTGCATGTTAAGGGAACAGGTTAATTGCACCCAGACAACGTCAATGAGATTTGGCGGTCTGGGTGCCTATAATGTCTCTTTAACCTCTCCACCTGATTCTTAATCAAGCTGTTTCAAACGTGTTCCTTATAGAGGGTTCAAAGTTTACAAGTAAACGTGTAATGTTAAACAAAAGCAATGGTCTTGGATAATAATATGTGAATATATATATACTCGTGTATAAGTCGAGTGCAGTTTTGTGACCAACAATTGTGAAATATGCTATGCCTCGTGGATAAGTCGAGGGTAAAACTTGGGGCTATGAAATTCTGTGATTTTTATAATTATATACACACACTCATACAAACACGTATACAACGCAGAGTGCGTATACAACGCAGAGTGCGTATACAACGCAGAGTGCGTATACAACGCAGAGTGCGTATACAACGCAGAGTGCGTATACAACGCAGAGTGCGTATACAACGCAGAGTGTGTGTTTGTGTAGTGTGTGTGAACTGGGTGGGAGGAGGGCATTTTTATTATTTTAATTTTTTTTTTATTATTTAAAAAAAAAAAATTGTCCCCCCTCCCTGCTTGTTAACCGGTCAGGGAGGGGGGCTATCTTAATCCCTGGTGGTCCAGTGGCATGGGCTGTGAAGTGGGGGGCCGGCAGGAAGCATTTACTTACCTTTCCTGCAGCTCCTGTCAGCAGCCTTCTCCTCCGTTCCGGTCAGCTCCACTGTAAGTCTCGCGGTCTGGTTGCCGCGCAGATTGTTGCCACGGCTCTGACGGCCGCGGCTCTAAGTTGCCATAATACAGTGACTCGAGTATAAGTCGAGTGGGGGTTTTTAAGCACAAAAAAATGTGCTGAAAAACTAGACTTATACTCGAGTATATACTGTACATATAAATAAATATATATATTCTCTGCATTAAAGTAGTTGCACAGGATGTGAAAATAAAAATTTTGTAAAAAACAAAAAACAAAACAGTAGGCAAAAATTAAAGTAAAAACCGCAACACAAATTAATAATTTATCCAAAACCTGGTTTGTTGTTGCCCATGGTGTAAAACTGCATAACCAATGTTTCTGAAAGAAGCACTTCATTTCCTTACCTGTTTTACTTTATCCTCAAAATCTGCATCATTTTTGTCATAAATCATCTGTGCGAGGCGGATTTGCTCAGCTGTTGCCTTAAATAAAAAAAATAAAAAATATGAAAATAATTCCGAAAGCTAGTTCGACAACTGAGCAGCTATTAAATACATAAAATTAAATTTTGCCTTGAGTGTCCCTTTAAGCCAAATCAGTACACTATGTTTAATAGGTTTCAGATGGTGATGCCTGTATGTTCTACAAATTCAAAACTGTACATATTTACAGTTGGAGTTAAAGAAATACTCTTGGTACCATAACCACTGAAGCGGTTAAGGTGCCAAGAGTTCACAGGTGAATTCCAATAGCTGCAAACAGTTGGACTCTTACTTTGCTATCTCAGGTGCCTAAAAATCTGAGTATATTTCATAAAGCAGAAGCTTATATCTCCGCATTACACTAGGTTTGGACAATACTGACAGTGTGTCATCTGATAGCTGTCAGTCAATTAATATGGTTGAAACACGGTAGGAGTTGGTATAAAAACAAAGAATGAATTTCCACTTTATTATGGCAACTGCACTACGTTTATGAACGAAAGCTGCAGGTGACTGCCGACACCACTATGTGTGGTAGTGTTTATGGTGTTTATACGGTCCCTTTATTCTCCCCCCTCCCCCCCTATTTATGTATAGCTTTCATACCAATATTTTTTTCACACAAAATACGAACTATATCATAAAAAAGGCAATATGCTCATCATATCAAATTTATAACACAACCCATGCAAGTATGGGAGTATCCCCAAACTTACTGAGTAGGCATATAACCCTGACTCTAAATAGTCCCTTTAAAGTTGATACAAGGTTGCTAAATGCAAGAGTAAGTTACCACAGGAAAATAAGTATAGCCATTCCTTTGCAGTGTCAAGAAAACATTGCAGTAACATCTACATGCATATAAGTATGAAGTGACACTATCACACCCAGCTGCTTCAGAGAAAAACTGCCATGTTGCCACAGCAACATGTTCATTCACAAAATACAAAATACTGTAACATCTTAAGTTGTCTTGGAGAGCAAACATCATAGACACAAGGAGTCTTTAAACACCCCTATTTCCTGTACTGGACAGAATCTTTTTTTCGTTCATGTTTAGTGCCAAGTCAATGCCGCAGCTAAATAAATTAAAGGGACACTACAGACACCAGAACAACTACAGCTTAATGTAGTTGTTCTGGTGAATATAATCATTGCCTTCAGGCATTTTTATGCAAACATTGCCTTTTATGAAAAAAAGCAGTGTTTACATTGCCTCTAAGGACACCTCCAAGTGGCCACTCCTTAGATGGCCACTGGAGAGGCTTCCTGGCTCAGGGCTCAGCCCTGCCAACAATCGGCCACTTTGATGTCACAAAGGGGGCGGAGCCAGCCCCGCACTGCGCTGGAAATAAAGGTGAATTTTAGACTTTCATAGGGGGGGATTGGGAGGGGGCAAGCCACCAATATGGTGGGTCTAGCACTATAGGGTCAGGAAGACCCTATAGTGATCCTTTGATAAAAAAATAAGCTTTTGGTGAACTTAAAGCCATTTCTTTAGAATACAGACTTTCTTTACCACTTAAGTTAAGAACATCTAAATCCTACATGCATGCACAGACAAGGTGTGGCCCTGGAAAAAAAGAACTTTCATTGAGTAGCAGGGTATAGTAATTGCCATTACGTGAGAACGTTTTCTCTTTTCTGACTTTGTAAAAACTGCATAGTGCCTAACGGCATGCCCACAGTTCGATGCTGTCCACAGGGCCCCGAGTCTTTAGACATCCTATTGGCATGGGCACACAAAAGCTTCTTAATACTCAAACAGCTTTATTGGGTCAAGAGAAAAGCGACGTTTATAGTGAGACCAAAATAGTGTAATTTTTCTCTTGACCCAATAAAGCTACTTGAGTATCAAGAAACTGTTGTGTGCCCATGCAAATTGGATTCCTACATATTTGTTGGAGTTTGTTGAATTTTCTGGTGTGTGCACCACCCGAGACTCCTGGTTGAGGGCTATCCCTTTTCATATTCCACAGAACTGTATGAATCTTTACTAGATCCAACAGTCCTGAGATAGCACATGAGAGTTATCAGAGACCTTTTTAACATTTCCAGCTATTGCAAGAATGCTCTAAGTACTGCCAACCAGGCTGCACTCAATTGATAGTGATAATGCAGAAATGGAAATTCTGGATCATCAATGCAGAAGGTTTCTAGTGGCAGTCAGATGAGCAATAATTAATAAGCCACTCATTTAGATTTCAATCCTTGTAAGGCATTTACACTATGGATTTTCCTCACCAAGAAGCACTGGATTCAGTTCAATATGAAAAGCAATTGGCAGAGTAATAGAATTGCTATGAGAAGTATTGTATTGGACGTTTGGTCTGCTTGACGTTGGATAAAAGGCAAATAAAAGTGAGTTTAGGAATTCCCCAACATTAAAAATATATTTGAGCAGGGCCCTCCACCCCCTCTGTTCCTGTACGTCCAGTGGTCTGATCTCAATTATGTGTCTGTTAGTCCACCCATTGTACAGCTCTACGGAATTTGTTGGCGCTATATAAATAATAATATATACAGTGTCTCATTAAAGAGTAATGCCCACCTACCTGTACCTGTTTCTGTGGCTGTGTCTGTGGCGTTGAAATCTGTGTTTTTTCCCGAGTGCCCCGGGGGCGTTCACTTCCCACCGAAGTCATCATATACAGTATATACAAAACAATGTATGTACAAAATAGAAAATCTGCAGGAAGAAGAAAAAAATAGGTCAGCCATGGCCATCAGAAACTCTTAATATTTAGCTAGAATCTATTCAACCTGGAAAATAGTTATAAAAAATAAATAAAAGTATGAAATAAATAAAAACAAAAATAATCTAACATGAACAAATTTAAATACATTGATGTTTTCAGGCATATTATCAGGTAAATAAGAGAATGAGACAGTTAAGCAATATGTGGGAATGGATTAATCAAGTAATACCAAGATAATATTTTTGACCTACACTCCTTACTTCTAAGCATCCGGCATAGTTTACAAAGATCTGATGTGCAAATGTTAAGTCTTCAATGTAAATAGTGGCATTCATGCTGCAGAACCTTAGAAATCAGATGAATAAGCAGCAGATAACAGCTATCAGGTTTCATTCAATATCAATTCAAGGAGCTGACTCTGGCAAAGGCTATGAATGCTACGGAGCACAGACAGCTGGGTCTGCTATAAAAACAATGGGTAGAAAGAGCGGAAATCAAGACGTTCTGTTTTTTGTGAAGACAGGAGACTAGACAATGCATTACCAAGAAAAAGGAATTTATTGTAGGACAGCAGGCGGCTGTGTATTGAAGAAATCAGGCTCATACAATAAAATGGCCATTATAAAAAAAAAAACTTCTTTCAGTAAAGGAGCGATTGGATTTGTAAATGGTCATTGAGGACAGACTCCATTACTTACTGGGATACGAACCAATATCATTAGCAAAAAAGAAAAAAAACACTAATAACCGCACCAATTACTAAATTAAAGGACCACCATAGGCACCCAGACCACTTCAGCTTAATCAAGTGGTCTGGGTGCTAGGCCCAGCTAGGTTTAACCCCCCTTTTTTATAAACATAGTTTCAGAGAAACTGCTATGTTTATAATAGGGTTAATCCAGCCTCTAGGGGCTGTCTGATTGACAGCCGCTAGAGGGCTTCCGTGCTTCTCACTGATTTTTTGTGAGAAGACGCCAACGTCCATATGGACTGGCTGAATGCGCGCGCAGCTCTTGCCTCGCATGCAGCCGGTGACTGAAGAAGAGAGAGGAGAGCTCCCCACCCGGCGCTGAAGAGGTAAGTTAAACCCCTTCCTCCCCCCAGAGCCCAGCGGGAGGGGGTCCCAGGGGGTGGGGCCCCTCAGGGCACTATAGTGGACCTTTAAGCATTCGTGCAAGATAAATCAGCTGTTATGGCAACAGCACAGGTAACAGAGGACATATCACCTACTGTAAAAAAAAAGGTGTCTAAACAAGAAGTGTAATATACGGTATCCAGTTATTCAACATCAACATATCAGTCACTCATTTAAAGCAACAAATACAAATTTAGTGCTGGATTCCTGTATAGATTTTCTGTCATATGGTTCGTGCCACATAAAGAAAGTCCATTCTGTAGCAGTTGCCAGTGCCCTATATGTATTATATTTAACTGAGTGAATGGATTACGTTATAAAACTAGAAGCAGCCAAAACAAGAACGATACTGCAATAGAGTAAATGGATTAAATTTAAAGGGACACTATAGTCACCAAAACAACATTAGCTTAATGAAACAGTTTTGGGGTATAGAACATGTCCCTGCAGCCTCACTGCTCAATTCTCTGCCATTTAGGACCTAAATCCCTTTGTTTATGAACCCTAGTCACACCTGTAAAGAGTCATCTAAAAGTTTATCCTTTCTTTATCGCAAGTTGTTTAATTTAGATTTTCTTATCCCAGCTATAACAGCTTGCTAGGCCCTGCAAGAGCCTCCTGTGTGTGATTAAAGTTCAATTTACAGAGCAAGAGATAAAATTGTTTAAGGTAAATTACATCTGGTTGAAAGTAAAACCAGTTTTTTTTTTCCATGCAGGCTCTGTCAATCATAGCCAGGGTAGGTGTGACAAGGGTTGCCTAAACAGAAACAAAGTGATTTAATGCCTAAATGGCAGTGAATTGAACAGTAAAACCTGAGAGACATGAGAAAATATATATATATATACATATACATATACATATATATATACATATACATATACATATACATATATATATATATATATATATATATATACACATACACATATATACATACATACACACGCACACTAAAACTGCTTCATTAAGCTAAAGTTGTTTAGACGACTATAGTGTTCCTTTATGACATCGAGAGATCTGACCTCAAACTCTATGCAAAATAGACAAAACCAAAATTAAATACTGAATGTAAATACAAGATAATTCGGTAACACTGATAATTGACAAATAATCTGATAATGCAATCTACCAGTAACAACAGAAAGACATGCATGAGGGGCCCATAAAGAAGATACAGCTTTCATCTCAAGAGGTTTTCAAATGCATAGATAAGAAACAGAATCACCAGGACCATTAATAAACACACTTGTTTTGTGTTCACCATTAGAGTAATGGATACACTTAGGATCAGACTTGTGACGGGGTGGGCCCAACTGCAGAGTTTCAAACCATCTTTAATGATCAGTTCACTCTCTGCAAACTGTGAGGCCTGCATGCCTGGCTTATGTAGCACGAGGAATCAGATTTCAAGAAAATAGCCCAATTCCCCAAATCCTTCCACAAGTAAAAATATATTTTGCTTCTTGATTTATTATAGATCATTCCCTGAATGGTTTTCACAATAAATAATTCAAATGAAAACTATAGCATTAGTAATATAAATCTATATCTCTAATGCTATAATGTTCTAATGCATTAATTTTATCCCCCCCACCCCCAATAAAAACAGGGAGGGGCAAGGAAACTCCTTCCACCCCACCCCCTACCCCCATTTAGAACAATTTGAAGACTTTCTAGAGCCTTATGATCTACTGTACAAAGTGTTTTGTAAACTTGGGACTCTAGACAAAGACCAACATACCATGCAACCTCCATGGAAAAAGGAAGGCAACAAGGTCTAAACCTGCAATAGCCAAACATATCTTAATGGAGCAGAAGGGAATTACCACACTACACTTTGGGCTCTACATACAGGTGATTCACGTCCCCCACGGTAGTTCATCCTGCCTTAAGTCTCCGCATGTGTTTAAGTAAGCTAGGCCACCTTTAAGAAATACACATGTGTTCGAGCCAAAACAAATCTGTAAATCATTTACACTATCATAGCAAGTATACTATGATTACATTACATGACTACATGTATATATTTTAGCATGAGTAGGACATCCCTGTACACACAGAGTGCATGCAGCTTGTGCACCCCCCTCCCCCCCCCCTTTTTTACCTAACCCCTCTCACCAACAACAAACACTGAAATCATCACTTCCAAGACCAGGGTAACTTGTGTCATTTAGTTCCACTACAGCAAGCCTCTATTTCTAGCAAGGAAAACAGCAGGAAGTGACATTCCTGAAACAGAGGCTCATGCAGGCAACAATCCTAAAAATAACCAACACACATCCAGAAGCAGACTGCACCGATCAACACATCCAGAGCTTCCACCGTACATGATCACATTGGTGTACCCACTTTTCTTCAACACACTCCCACACCCGCAGGCTTTCAGCAAATGCTTTATTCGGCGGTTTCTATCACACCTCAGCATCCACCAGGTGTCTCACTCCACAACAACACATTACTTAACAGAAAGTGGTCATTTCAGATTGAGTGCATGAATGCCGCAGCCTGTGGCTGAAACCATCAGGGGAGTATATGGGAAAAGTCAGGATATTTCCTAAAACCAATCAGCATTAAACATAATGTGTTTACACTACCTAAAATAAGAAGGATGATGGGTTTCAGTTTTGAATTAAAGGGATCCTATAGTGCCAGGAAAACAAACTTGTTTACTATAGGGTTAACATGTCCCCATCTCTTGCGCAAACCCCTTCAGCCACTTACCCGAATCCAGCGCAAATGTCCCTCGACGCTGGGTCAGGCTACACCCACGCTCCTCCCTCGCCGACGTCAGCCGGCAGGGGAGACCTAATGTGCATGCGCGGCAGTGGCCACACACGCACTAGTCCTCCCCATAAGAAAGCATTATTCAATGCTTTCCTATGGGGAAAACCTGACGCTGGAGGTCCGTGAAGACATCCAGCGTCAGATAATGGACCAAAAGTCTGTTTAGAGTCTGGAAGCCCAGAGTGCAGACTTAGAGCTGCAATGTAAACATTGCAGTTCTCTGAAACTGCAATGTTTAACATTGCAGCACTAAGTGCAAAAGGGTCACAGCACCCAGACCACTTCAATTAGCTGAAATGGTCTGGGTGCCTAGAGTCCCTTTAAGTGTGCCAGTCCTATCCGAGCTTGAAGGATTATCGTTCGTAACTGCTGCTGCACTGACACAGAAAGACCGTAAACCCCAGAGAATGCATGCTTCATATGATATTGCAGTAAACAGAAGTCTCTTTCTTTTAAAGTTGTGAATAAAATATATATTTTTTTATCACGCTGCACCTGAGGGCAACATAACTAATTTTAATAATACATAACGCAGCAAACACGTCACATTTTATGCAATTGTATCGAGTGCACACTTATTTTATTTGTTCCATTTTTGTTATGAGAATATTTAATCTTATTCATAGTATGCAGTCTTTTTAGAAGGTTTTGACAACTTTATCTTATTTTGTAGGTTCATGTGTTATCTGTATTGCTGCTTTAGAATTATATTTGGCATGAAACATTGAACTAGAATTTGTTTGTACCAACTCCAGAAGTCATTCCCCCAAATCCTTAAGCAAATCCTGCCTCAAGAATTCAAAGCAGAATGCATGTTGTCCTCAAAAATGTTTCAGTGTGATTAGTCTACAAAAGAGATGTCTGCATAGATAAATAAAAAGTTGTGCTGTTAAGTGCTTACTGAACACCTATATATTTAAAAACAGGAAGTGGACGATCTGCCATTTGTTGACAAACTAATTCTACAATTTTACCAAGTATTACAATGTAAATACAACTCAGGGATGCATGAAGAAACAAAAGTCAGTCAAGAAATTCCAATGCACTTCACAAGACTGAAAATAGTAAAAATTCACACAGAGATAAAAAGCTATGTATGACAGGAGGAGAGAGGCATGGATATCTAACATTAGGTTAACTGACCAGAAATATATGGAAGGTTAGATGTATCTAGACATAATAGAAGGAATCTGTTTTCAGCTGATGCAGTATATAGACCAACTTAATTTCACTCAGCACACGTTAAAAAAGAGAAACTCTCAACATTGGACTTAGTGTTTTATGAAGTGTGCGTTTCAAGAACAATTTTATTGATGTATGACTTTGCGAACGTCCAGTATATGTAAACAGCAAATTAATGGCAGGCAGAAGCAGACATCTAGTTTTCTTACCATCTACAAGTCTCACAAATGGGTCATCAGAAAACACAAAATGGCTGCCCTACAGGCCCTGAAATATTTGCAAAATTCAGTAGCTCAAACGCAAATTATAGTCCCCTGCTAATTAAATATATTAAGTTTCAGTCCTGTGCTCGTCAAAAGAGCTAAGCAAGCTACTAGCATGCATGGCATTTACACTAGTTGCAGCACACCACAAACCTGTGAATTTAAACTAAAGGCCCTGTAATTGATAATATATACACACATGGAAAAAGTACATTGGTAAGAAACATCAAGGATTTCCTCAAAGCAAGGCAATAGTGTGTAAACTATTAGATAACTGGAAAACAGAGGACTTACAGACTTGTTACTGGAAGCAAATTGCCAGATACACCATACCAAAACACACATAATAAAAGGGCAATATTTTGGAGAGTAGATTTTCGACTGTTCAGGCGTAAACCAAAAATACAATAACTATTCCATCATATATTTTTATTGTTGGTCCAAAAAACCTGAGCATTATTTAACTGTGGAGCTGGTTTCTTTGGACATTTATGAATTAATTGATATATTATCGTGTAACCCTCATCTGGGCACCCAAACGGTCAGTGTATGAGCGGTCTACCTTGCTCAGTATTAGTAGCTCATTGCTGGTTAACGAATATCATGCATAGTCATATAGATGAATGGCAAGCACCGTGTACCTCGGGATGAATCCCGCTAGAGATCAGAAGATATGAGAAAAATCATATCCAATCACTAGCACTGTTCCAAGTTTAGCCCAGTTTACAGCAGCTGAACTGGATGATGAGCCTAATATGTCTGTTCCCATGGGACTAGTTATCTTAACAACAGCCATATGAATGAGTTTTTAAAGGGAAGATTTTTTTTTTATTTTTAAATCAGGATTAACAAGGCACTACAACATAACATGTTTCACAATTCAGTTTACAAAGGACATGAACAAAAAAAACAAAAACCAAAAAACCAAACAAACTGTTTTAATCAGAGGGAAATTCCAGTAAAAGCAAGCAAGAGTGCAAATAGGGTGCTTTAAAATATACTTTAATGAATATGACCTCCACTCCTTTATTATCAGATATACATGTATAAATAATATGCATATGCTCTTAGAAATTCATAGCAATTCAAACCACCAAGATGTAATCCCTATAAGCAAGGATGAAATATGAGCGCGTGTTTTAGTTCACATAAGTTTAACCAGAAAACGCCTTCTCCCTGCTGCTTGATGGCTCAAATTTCTTTTCTGAAAAGAGCAGCTGCTCCCCACCCAACCTGACCTCAACCCTAAGCAGAGAGAACTAACCCCCCAGTCACACTGCCTGAAATAAAAAAGTGCCTTAGTAGGAGCATCAGGAACTTGGTTGGAACATCAAGAATTAAAGGGAGAAGAAAAAAAAATAAAACATTTCCGATTGGCCTAATTTAATCACAAGTTGGTGTTCCTCTCCCCTCCCCGGTTTGCCTCATTACCTCTCGTAGCGTGGCATAGCGGACCGCGGTACAGAAGCTTCAGTTTCTTGTACCTGGCACTAACAGGAAGTGCTCTCAGTCCAGCCGGGTACAGGAAACCGAAGCTCCTGTACCACGGTCCGCTCGGCTCCACTGCACCGAGTAAGTGGTAGGGGGGAGCGCTGTGCACTTCCTTCCTGTCACTCAATTCTTGAACCCCCAAAGCCGATGCGCCCTAATGCAGCCGCTTGCTCCGCCTTATGGACGCGCCGGCCCTGCCTGCACTGGGCCATTGCCGCCTCTCACATTATCGGTATCAATAGTGGGCGATACAGATATTTGCCAAAATCCTGAATATTAACCGATAATATTGACCAAACCGATAATCAGTCTATCCCTAGTTTCAATAACCGCTTTCAGTAGTATCCACTAAGGCAAATTTACAAAGTCACACTACCCTAAATCAGGATCTTCTCCAATAATTAGAAAACCTGTGCTATAAGCTTTTCATTCCATAACACAGTTTAAAAAAACAAACCAAAAAAAATAAAAATAAAATAAATAACCATCAAAGCAATAAATGCCAAGACTCTAAATGTTTAAAGGAACACTATGTCAGGAACACAACCATATATTCCTGACCCTCTAGTGCAAAACCCAACATTGTACTACCCTCTGCAAACTTAGTCAAACCACAGTCTTCAAAAATACAAATACTAATTGAAGAATTTGTAGACTTGCAGGACATCCACAATGTGCATAACACTTACTATGCACAGATGTATATACTGCTAGGCTTCCATGACTAGTATAAAAATACTCCGGTCTCCTAAAGCACTTTAGGTTTACCTATATCCTGAGCACTCTGAGCCACAAGGGTTTACTAGCCTCACCTCACATTCCAAGTTATTGAAAGCTATGCTTTTCAATGAAAAGCAGTTAGGCAGAGAGTAGCTGTGCATGACCAAAGTTTCCCAATGCTTCTAAATAAGAAGCACTGAATTGGTCATAGTGGTTCGAGTAACCTTATTTGGCATAGATCCACATTATGTACCATAGTTCGAGGCATAAGGCTGCAAGATGAGACATCTCAAAACTATTTGTCTCTGCAAATTTCCTCCGTCTGCCTTTCTTAGACACGGTGCTACAGAGTCAATCCGGACAGCCGTTACCAGTAACCGCTGCAGGGAGTTAGCTCTGTTTATGGAGGATCCCAGGGTCTTCCGGACTCATATGCTGTACTCTTGCGCATGCTGAAGCGGACCAGCCAGAGAAAAATGGCAGCGAGGGACGGGTTCAGGTAAGTAAATCTCACCTTTAATTCAACAAAGTCCCCAGACGGTGACATTGAAGTTTAAAACACAATAGTATCAGGGCTGAAGGAATTCAAACATTTACTGCATTGAAATCCTAATGTCAGTCGATTTGGATGAGTGGAGGCTCAGACCATTGGCACTACAGATTTAAAAGAGGGACTCTCAGACCATTGGCATGGTTGATATACCAGTAAAATGAAATGTCTCTGGTCATTGGAACCACAGAGACTGCTGATATATGTAAAATTAAGCGGTCTCAGGACTTTTGGACAGGTGATTTAATAATGATGTGGTCTCAGGTAGAGATGTCGCGAACTCCGGTCAGCTGACACATCCCTGCCAATCTCCAGCAGACCCTCCCTCCCACCGCCTGGACAGGAAGTAGGAGGGTCTGCTGGAGATTGGCCGGGATGTGTCAGGTGACCGGAGTTCGCCACGAACCGTTTGCGGGAAGTTCGCGACATCTCTAGTCTCAGGACTTTTGGACCGGTGATTTAATGATGCGGTCTCAGGACTTTGTAACCACTAATTTGTGAAAAATGAAGCAGTCTCAGGTCGTGAGATGGGTGATTTATGTAAAACGAAGCGGTCTCAGGGACTGTTGATTTAAAATGAAGTGGTCTCAGGTCTTTGAGACTGGTTTTATAAAATAAAGCGACCTAGGGAATTTGCGACAGATAATTTTGTCAACATTTTTTTAAAGATTAAAATGGCATGTATTAATCTTTCTCACTGCTGATGTGAAATTAGAGTATGGGGTCTGAGAGTTTTGCCACTGCTGCTGTTAAATGTAGGGGTCTAACATAAATGGATGTAAAAATTAGGAGGCGGAGCCTGGGAATTCTGTCACTGCGGATCTCCCATTAACGGATGTAAAGTGTGTATGTGTCTCATTAACGGATAAAATGTTGTAGGGTCTCACATTAACTGATGCTAAATCTTGGGTGGGGGGAGAGGTCTCCCATTATCTGATGTGAGACTAATATAAAAAGTAGTGGGGTCTCACACTGAGGGATATATAACGTCGCGGGGGTCTCACACTGAGGGATATATAACGTCGGGGGTCTCACACTGAGGGATATATAACGTTGTGGGGGTCTCATATAAGGGATATATAACGTTGTGGGGGTCTCACATTGAGGGATATATAACGTGTGGGGGTCTCACATTGAGGGATATATAACGTTGTGGGGGTCTCACATTGAGGGATATATAACGTTGTGGGGGTCTCACATTAAGGGATATATAACGTTGTGGGGGTCTCACATTAAGGGATATATAACGTTGTGGGGGTCTCACATTGAGGGATATATAACGTTGTGGGGGTCTCACATTGAGGGATATATAACGTTGTGGGGGTCTCACATTGAGGGATATATAACGTTGTGGGGGTCTCACATTAAGGGATATATAACGTTGTGGGGGTCTCACATTAAGGGATATATAACGTTGTGGGGGTCTCATTGAGGGATATATAACGTTGTGGGGGTCTCACATTGAGGGATATATAACGTTGTGGGGGTCTCACATTGAGGGATATAACTGGTTCTTCATTAAGTGATGTAACAGGATGGAGCAGTGACCCCCCCCTCCCCCTCCCCCGGTGCTGTAAGCCGAGGCTGGGGATTTACAAGGCTGCTGCTGCCCATAGAAGGCCGGGTCCCGGCTAGCGGGTTACTGCGGCACACCGCGGCCTCTCTCTTCCCCCCCTCCCCCACCGGTCAGACTAGGCCCCAGCCTGCCCCCCGCCCGGCCTCGTGCGCCCCCCCGCTCTATCCCGATCCCTTACTATTAAGGCCGCGGGGTATGACGGGTTAATCCGCGGTTACCGCCCGCCCCCGCTGCCCCAATACCCCGGGAGGGAGGTGGGGGTATCGCCCCGGACCGGCCGGCCCGTCTCACCTGCAGCACAATGCGCCTCACAAAGCAGCTCCAGCAGCGGGCGCCGTCACGTGACCCCTCCTTCCTCCTCCCCCCGTCACCCGGCTGCGCGAACTACCCGGCTGCGTCATCAGCCTGCGCCACCCCCACCCCCCCCTCCCCCGTAACCCCACATTCCAATCCGTATTACGGGGGGGAGGGAGGGTGAGGGATCACTTACCGTGTCCTCGCAATCCCGGGCTCTGTATAGGCGGCGCGCACTGGGCGGCTGACCGAACAGGACGCAGGGGGAGGGGGTGGGGGCTGGCGGGAGCGCGGCTATTGTCTGGGATTTGTAGCGTCGGCGGCGCGCCTCGATGACGTCACCGCCCGCGCTCCTTGCTGCTGCCGGTTGCCAGGGGTGATTACTGCATAGAGCTGGGGGGGAGGGGGGAGTCACTGATTGACAGCCAGACAATATCCAGAGAGCAGGATATTATTATTATATTATTATATATTATTGTTATTATATTATTATTATAATAGTATTATTGTTATATTATTATAATATTATTATTGTTATATTATTATTATATATTATTGTTGTTATTATTATTATATTGAGCACGGGGTGCCGGTACCGAGGAGAGATCATACATAGTGTCCCTAACTAACCTCTCCATCATCACCAAGGGTCATTGTATCCTATACCTGGACTAATACTGCATAACAACAACACATTAACCCCCAGGAATAATATTAATAATAGTAATAATGAATGTGTGAAGTTTGTGTCTCATCCTGGCAAACAAAAAGAGCTTCCTTTAGTATTAATTAAAAAAATAGTAATACGTTTCCTTCTTTCATAAAGACAGTATCTCTTAAACCCCTTAAGGACCAAACTTCTGGAATAAAAGGGAATCATGACATGTCACACATGTCATGTGTCCTTAAGGGGTTAAAGGACCACTATAGTGCCCTGAGGGTGCCCGCACCCTCAGGGACTCCCTCCCGCCAGGCTGGATGGTGAGGAAGGGGTTAAATCTTACCTTTTCTCCAGCGCCGGGCTCCCTCGGCGGTGGGGCCCCTCCTCCTACTCTCCCCGTCATCATCTGAATGCGCATGCCCGGCAAGATGCGCATTCAGCCAGTCTCATAGGAAAGCATTCTCAATGCTTTCCTATGGACGCTGGCATCCTCTCACTGTGAAAATCACAGTGAGAAGCACGTAAGCGCCTCTAGCGGCTGTCAATGAGACAGCCACTAGAGGCTCGATTAACCCATAGGTAAACATAGCAGTTTCTCTGAAACTGCTATGTTTACAGCAGAAAGGGTTAATCCTAGATGGACCTTAAGCTGAAGTGGTCTGGGTGCCTATAGTGAATTAAGCTGAAGTGGTCTGGGTGCCTATAGTGGTCCTTTAAGATCCCTGGATCTCTTCTTTTATAAAAAAAAAATTAAATTAAATTTGAAAAATTCAAGAAACCAAATGAAAAGGTGGTGAGACACGCTGGTCAACAAGAATATGAAACATGCTTTTCCAACAAAGAGATTCGTAGATCTCCAAATGTTTCTCTTATTTTTTTTTCTCATCCCCGTATCTCTCTTTGTATAAGAAAAAAAAAAATGAGGATTGAAACAGACAGGGTTGGTTGGTTTCCAAGAAAGGGTTTCTTGAAAGGGTTTCTTGAGAGGCTGTAATGTAAACACTGCATTTTCTCTGAAAAGACAGTGTTTATTGAAAAAAGCCTGAAGGGAATGATTATATTCACCAGAACAAATACAATAAGCTGTAGTTTTTTTGGTGACTATAGTGTCTCTTTAACTGAAGCTGAAGGTTTACTCCCTGAAAAGGAAGGTGGTAAACCAACAGTACTGCGGGTTATCAAAATATGGGAAATCATTAATACTAGCTATGACGTCTATCTCCACGGCATCAAATGGACAGACCCTCTCATGCTGCCAGAGACTGACGTCACAACTAGTTTCGCCCTTCCTCCTTGGGCTTCCTCAGGTGTGTCTGTCATCCTATGTAGGTACTATAAATACATTGATCTTCCGTTAGTGAATTAACTATATCCTGCATTTACACAATGAAGTCATAATACAATAAAACTTTATTCTATTTAGGGATATAAAAGTATTTTCATCTTTAAACATCTCAGTACACAAACCAGATAAATAAAATAAATTCAAATTCATCCCATATCAGTTAGAGGTATATTGTTCTATAAACATAGACATCTGCATTGGATTCATAATAGCAGGCAAATTATCCCAAAAAACAGAGCAGCTTTGCTACTTTGTTACTTTAGACTTGTTAGATTGAGGACTTATTTACTTTGCAGAATAATGTATACCCTCCACTTGGTGTTTTCTTGATATATTTTGGTTTGACATAAAGTTTGTTGCTACCCGGATTCTGGCGATTCTATAATATATAGAGAGGATTGATATCAACTGTTTTATTTTGAAATTTCATCTTTAAACATCTCAGTACACAAACCAGATAAATAAAATAAATTCAAATTCATCCCATATCAGTTAGAGGTATATTGTTCTATAAACATAGACATCTGCATTGGATTCATAATAGCAGGCAAATTATCCCAAAAAACAGAGCAGCTTTGCTACTTTGTTACTTTAGACTTGTTAGATTGAGGACTTATTTACTTTGCAGAATAATGTATACCCTCCACTTGGTGTTTTCTTGATATATTTTGGTTTGACATAAAGTTTGTTGCTACCCGGATTCTGGCGATTCTATAATATATAGAGAGGATTGATATCAACTGTTTTATTTTGAAATCCAACAATCTGCAGGATTTGATCCTCTTGGTGCTCTGCTGTTTGAGTGGCACACAGTCACTCTGTTTTGTGAGTTTGTCCATACGGAAATATGATCCCGGTACAGGAGCTTCAGTTTCCTGTACCTGGCCGGACTGATAGGAAGTGCTCTCTCAGTGAGCACTTCCTGTCAGACTGGCCAGGTACAGGAATCAGAAGCTCCTGTACCGCAGCCCGCTCCGCTCGGCCACGCTACACTCAGTGCTGTATACACACTGACAGTCACACACACTCAATGACAAACACACAGACGTCACTGACAGACACAGACTCACTGATTTGACACACACACATTCCCCAACAGACACTCACTGGCAGGTACGCACTGACAGTCACACACACACACTCAGTGACAAACACACAGACGTCACTGACAGACACAGACTTACTGATCTGACACCCACTCATTCATTGACAGACACATAGATGCACACTGACAGACTCATTGATAGACACACTGACAGACACACAGATTCAAGGACAAACAGACTATCACTGATTTGACTGACACTCACAAACACACACTGACAGACACATACACATTGACAGACACTCATGCACACACATACACTCACAGATACTCTCACTCACAAACACACACACACACTCACTAATTATTAATATTATAATTAAAAATATTCCACCCAGCCTCCATACCTGTAGAGCTGGCGTGGGTCTGTCGTTGGGGGTCCATGGGGGCTGCTGTGAGACGGGTGGCTGTGATGGCATCTGAGGCGGCAAGGGAGCTGTGATCTCCCTGCTCTGCTGCCTTGTGCCAAGCAGGCTGTCTGCTGATGGCGGGAGCCGGAATGATATCATGTTCCAGCTCCCGAGGCATCAGCAAATGGCGCGTGAGGGAGCAGAGCAGGGAGATCAGAGCTACCTCACTACCACGGGTGCCAATACAGCCGCATTCCGGGGGGTACAGAAGGTGGCCTGGTAGGAAGGAGCGCTCACCTCCTGCCGGTCACTGGAATCTTGCGTCCCCAGAGCTGGTGCGCCATAAGGCGGCCGCCTGTGCCGCCTTATGTACTCACCTGCCCTTGCTGCAAACCAGATGCATAGACAGACACCAGCTTCTGGCAGCATTCCTGAGGAATCTTAGCCCATTGTTTACAAGAAATGGCCTCCAGTTCAGTAATATTCTTGGGTTTGTGTGATGCAACCGCCTTCTTCAAATCCCACCAGAGATTTTCTATGGTGTTCAAGTCAGGTGACTGTTATAGCTACTGTAGAATCTTTTAGGACTTATTCTGCAACCAAGCCTTGGTGAAATGTGAGGTATGCTTGGGATCATATTTTTGTTGGAAGGTCCAATGACGCCCAGGCTTCAGCTTACTCACAGACGTCATGACATTTTCTCCTAGGATTTCCTGATACTTCAATTAATCCATCTTGCCTTCCACACACTGCAGGTTTGAAGTCCCAGTGGATGCAAAGCAGCCCCAGAGAATCACCGATCCACCACTACGCTTAACTGTAGGTAGAGAGTTCTTTTCAGCATTTCCATTGGGCCAAAAAGTTCCAGTTTGGGCAGTTTTCCCAAACTTCTGTGGCTTATTTATATGTTTTGAGCATATAGAACATAGCTTTTCTTGTGCTTTTGGGTCAGTAGTGATGTACGTCTTGTAGTTCTGGCATTGAGGCCTCCAGTACGCGCCTTACTGTGATCACTGAAATCTTGGTGCCTGTTGCCACGAAGTGTTGCTGCAGGTCCTTTGCAGTCACTCAATAGTTTTTCATAACCTGCCTTTTCAGAAATCTGGTTGCAGCCATTGATAGCTTCCTACTTCTGCCCCTATAGCTAGTGTAACCACTGTACCTTTAACTTTAAACTTGCAAACTATACTTCAAATGCTGTCTCTATGAACATTCAGTACCTTTGCTTTCTTTTTGTATCCTGTTCCTTGTTTGTGAAGAGCGATGATCTCTTCTCTTAACTTTATGGACCATTCTTTTGACTTAGCCATATTTCAAGCATGACACTCAACAAACCCTTAGCCAGTTCAGGTATTCCAAGTGTTCCAGCTGAAGCACACCTGGTGCAACTCACAGCACCAGACCGTTTCCTCCGACATGGGCATTGCAAGACAGGGTAGCATGATACTAGCCCTGTGCCACCAGGTAGAGGACCTCGTCAATCGGAGTCGCCGCTCCAACATTAGGGTCCAAGGGGTACCTGAGCCAGATGGAGAGGAGAATGTGGAGGAGGTCCTGTCTGGGATTTTCCACCTGATACTTGGCGATGATGGCCCTGCGGATATGCACTTTGAGAGAGCCCATCAGGCCTTAAGGCCTAAGATCTGGGAAGTTGACCTCTGCGACCTAATATGCTGTCTCCACTCTTTTCAACTAACGGAAAGAATCATGCAAAAGGCCAGGACGTGAGCCGTATGGAGATCCCAGGGAGCTGACGTTGCCATCTAAAACGACCTCTCACCTGTTACATTGGAGGCATGATGGACGCTCAGACCAGTGACAACCGCCTTGCAGGAAAAGAATATCCCCTATAAGTGGGGTTTCCCGTTCAGCATCCAGGTGAAATACTGCAATGAGTGGGTTGCAGCATGATGGCCAGAGGAGATCCCACGTTTCTTACAACACCTGGAGATGCCGCCGATAGAGGTTCCTGATTGGATCCTGGAGCCGCTGGAGAGTGGGCCCAAACCCAAGAGGATCCCTCAATGTACTCGGAGAGGCTCCCATGAGGGCCACTCACGACACCAGCCCCCTAACCCGATTAATCTAAAATCCATCCCAACTGACCCAAAGACTCAGCCAGGCAGGGCAGAACAACTGCAGTGACAATTTAAAATTTGTTATCAAACCATAAAATCAAAACAAAATCAAGAATTCATTGACCACACATAGTGTTAGAAACTTATCAGTTGCATAGTTTAAACTATTTCTGTAAAAATTGTGTTTTGAAAAATTACAGGCGACAGTCTTAGTGATTAGCGGGGCCTAGGATAGCCTGTTTCTTACGTAAAATTCAGTGAATATAGGTTATTATAGAAGAGAAGAAGCAATGGTACTAAAACTCCAGGTTCATCCTATCATAAATTACATAGTAACTTCATGTCACATTGTCTCTGACAATATTGCACCATGTTTCTAATGTAATCTTGTCATATTGGGTAGTTGTTTGGGCTGCCATGAGCTTCTTCAGATCTCTAGCAGCAGCCATTTAATTGGAAAAAAAAGGGATCTTTCAAAACATGAAAGGGTGGATCCGTTGAGTGAATCATCGATTGCTAATTACTCTTCTCTTTCATTTTTTGAAATTGCATTGGTGATAACACCAGCTGTCGCAACACTAGCCTGTATTGTACACTCACACTTGGTTGTTGAATGCTAAAGGAAATGTTGATGGTGCCGGTACTGGTGATGTTGATGGTGGTGGTGGTGGTGGTGTTGCTGGTAACATTGATAGTGAGTGAGTTCCTTGCCAGTTGTAGCATATGCAGCTGATGTCTCGGCTGTCTTCATTGGATGAGATGATTCTGAGAATGATTCTGAGATGATTCAGAAAATACTGGGCTACTGTCTGTCCTCTCCAGACTCTCCTCTTCTAATTCCTCTGGCTTATGATACTCATAAGGGAGTGACTCCTGGGCCAGAGGTAAAAGTGCCATATCTGCAGGGATTGGGAAGACATTGTTGCATCATGAAAATGATGGGGAAAATAAACAATTGCCTCTTATGCATTAAATCAAATATAACGGTCATGATGCTAATTCAAATTTCCTGAGGCTGTGGTTGCTCAGTCCTCATGGCCCAGAAAGAGATATTCCAAATCTCAGAAGCCAAGGCACTAGAGCTGAGTGTAGACTGGGGAACAGGACTTCTTCCCTTACCCTTCCTCAATTTTGGCTTGGCTTGGGGGTTAATACGTAACATTGATGATGATGGGCTTGTGTTTCTTATTACAATGAGATAAGGTAGATGAATGATTGTCTGTTGTGTAAAGTAACACAACATTATTCAGAAAATGGGTTAGTGCTTGGTGGATTTACTGCTGTAATGCTATTGTGTTTGATGTTAAGGAACACTGCACAATGCTCCCATACTTGCGGGGTATACTGGGTTGAACGTAGTTAGAAAACATAATTAAAATAGGATTTTCTTTCTCCAGACAATTAACAAACATGAACCCAAAGATAAAGCACCGCGCTTACAGCAGCAGTAGCTTAGTATCCAACAGCTTAAAATACATAGTAAAAACAAAGAGAACGTTACCTGCGCTCTGACCTAAATCCCCATGTACATTTAAACAAAATGGAGGCTCTTTAGTTTTATTCCAATGGCCATTTGAATATATAAGCTCACTTGCCACGTCAAGGCAAGCCTCAATAAGTGAGTTCCTACACTAGCCATTAGATATGCTGATATCAGCCAAGAATCTCCAGTAAGACAGGAAGGGTATTTTATAAACCCTTTCCCATTTAACCCTTTACAGGGCTTCTACATATACAATAAACTTTGCTGGTATCAGACAAAGTGTAAACATCTCTAATGAGACAGGAAGGGGTATTTTATAAACCCTTTCACATTTAACCCTTTAAAGGGCTTCTACACATACAATAAACTTTGCTGGTATCAGACAAAGTGTAAACATCTCTAATGAGACAGGAAGGGGTATTTTATAAACCCTTTCACATTTAACCCTTTATAGGGCTTCTACACATACAATAAACTTTGCTGTTATCAGCTAAAAGGCAAATTTCTCTGATGAGACAGGAAGGGGTGCTGCCCCTACATACTTATAAACTCTTAATAAGACAAACGTGGGGAGGCTGGCAGCAATGTAACATAGCTGTGTGATACAAAATTCATATACAAAGATAAAGCACCATGCTTACAGCAGCAGCTTAAAATACATAGTAAAAACAAAGAGAACGTTACCTGCGCTCTGGCCTAAATCCCCATGTACACAGGGCTGGTGCAAGGATTTTTGCCGCCCTAGGCAAAATAAAAATTTGCCGCCCCCAGGTGACATCACAATGCCCAACCCATATGATCTGCCATATGAATTAACGCCTGTGCTGCACACAGTGTGTGTTTACATGAAAAAGCCTGCAGGGACAGGCTATAGACACCAGAGCCACTTCATTAAGCTGCAGTGGTTCTGGGGACTATAGTGTCCCTTTAATGTTAAATTAGAGATTAGTGTCACTAATAATATACTAGATTGCCTACTTACAACCAGATGAGGATGATGATGAGTTCTCGCTGCAGTTTGGCTCCACTGGTCTGGTGTAGAACTGGATCTCTGGAGGCTGTTTGTAACTGTGGTCACAAAATTCAATGTTTTGGGAGAACGGGAAGCAGCTCTATTTTTTGAGGCCCCTTACACAGCTCAAGGTCTGGGCCCCAGGGCCTGACGGTGAGTATGCCCATAAGGCCCACCCATAAGTCCACCTATATGTTCCACCCACGAGTTCGCTCACAGGGAGTGGAGTGTGTAGGGGATGTGTTATGTGTTATTGTAGAGGATCTAATGTGTGTGCTTATGGAATGTAGTGTATAGGGATACCAGTTTGTGTAGGTAATGCAGTGTGTTTGTGTGTATTGGAAGAAGTGTGTGTTTGTGTATAAGGGATGTATTGTGTGTTTCTTACTCCCCCTCATCTTCTTCTTACTCCTTCTCGCCCTCCCCCCTTTTTCTTACTCTCCCTCCCCCCTTCTTCTTACTCCCCCTCCTCCCCTCTTCTTCTTACTCCCCCCTGTTTTCTTCTTAGCCCCCTCCCCCATTTTCTTCTTACTCCCCTTCCTTCCCTCTTCTTCTTACTCCTCCCTCCCCTGTTTTCTTCTTACTCCCTTCCCCATTCTTTCTTACTCCCCTTCCCCATTCTTCTTACTCCCCTTCCTAATCTTCTTACTCCCCTTCCCTAATCGTGTTCTCCTCCTAACCTCACCTCACCTTCCCTGTAGCGTGGCCGAGCTCCTCTCCGGTCCGCAGTACAGGAGTTTCTGTCTGCACTTCCTATCAGTCTGGCCGGGTCACGGACCGGAGAGGAGCTCGGCCACGTTACAGGAAGGGGAGGTGAGGAAAGAGGCAGTGCTGCAGCCACCTGAGCTCTCTCTATAGAGCGCTCAGGTGGCTGTAGCATTTAACTGGCCGGCGATGGGAGCGCAGGGCGCCCCCTCCTTTATGGCGACCTAGGCGGGTGCCTAGTTCGCCTTATAGGAAGCGCCGGCCCTGCATGTACATTTAAACAAAATGGAGGCTCTTTAGTTTTATTCCAATGGCCATTTGAATATATAAGCTCACCTGCCACGTCAAGGCAAGCCTCAATAGGTGAGTTCCTACACTAGCCATTAGATATGCTGATAGCAGCAAAGTTTATTGTATGTGTAGAAGCCCTATAAAGGGTTAAATGTGAAAGGGTTTATAAAATACCCCTTTCTGGCGTACTGGAGATTCTTGGCTGATATCAGCATATCTAATGGCAAGTGTAGGAACTCACCTATTGAGGCTTGCCTTGACGTGGCAGGTGAGCTTATATATTCAAATGGCCATTGGAATAAAGCTAAAGAGCCTCCATTTTGTTTAAATGTACATGGGGATTTAGGCCAGAGCGCAGGTAACGTTCTCTTTGTTTTTACTATGTATTTTAAGCTGTTGGATACTAAGCTACTGCTGCTATAAGCATGGTGCTTTATCTTTGTGTTTGTATATGAATTTTGTATCACACAGCTATGTTACATTGCTGCCAGCCTCCCCATGTTTGTCTTATTAAGAGTTTATAAGTATGTAGGGGCAGCACCCCTTCCTGTCTCATCAGAGAGATTTGCCTTTTAGCTGATACCAGCAAGGTGATTTGTATGTGTTATATCCCTATTCAGGGTTAAGTATGTAGGGGTTTATAAAACACCCCTTCATGTCTCATTAGAGATGTTTACACTTTATCTGATGCCAGCAAAGTTTATTGTATGTGTAGAAGCCCTATAAAGGGTTAAATGGGAAAGGGTTTATAAAATACCCCTTCCTGTCTCACTGGAGATTCTTGGCTGATATCAGCATATCTAATGGCTAGTGTAGGACTCACCTATTGAGGTTTGCCTTGACGTGGCAGGTGAGCTTATATATTCAAATGGACATTGGAATAAAAGTAAAGAGCCTCCATTTTGTTTAAATGTACATGGGGATTTAGGCCAGAGCGCATGTAATGTTCTCTTTGTTTTAATTAACAAACATGAAAACAATAAACTTTTAACAAGCAGATATTGGCAAGGTAGTCTCACACTAGGATCAATGACAAAATGCCTGCCAAGGTTCAATCTTCTATCTCCCACACAAAGTTTTTTTAGTGTATCAAGATCTTTATCATCTTGATGTAGTCACAGTTATGCAGGTCAGGGCATGTAGTCCATATGTCAGATCATCAGCTACCAAAGAGAAAGATAATTTTTTATTGTGAGCTGTGGCAAGGACAGTGGTCCTAGGTAGGTCAAAAGAAGCGGCTTAAAGACATTCTCAAAGTCGCCCTGAAGGTATTTGACATCAATTCTGACTCTTGGGAACAGAGCACAACTCTTATCAAAATGGTCCGAATCACGTGAGGTCAAAAGGATGGCTGCAGCAGAGCAAAACAGGCAAGCTAGAAAACCTTGTTAGAGATGTCCTCCTCGGCTGTTGTTCCATCTGTCATTGGATCTTCCATACAAGGACTGGCCTTGTTAGCCATTTGCACTTACTGAAATATAACCTACACTAGCAATTCACAGATGAGTGATCCTTGTCGAATAAATAGGCGAACAACATGTATGTCAGTGATTGTATCTGTGTGTCTATCTGTATGTGTCTCATTGTGTTTTTATGTGTCTGTATATGTATCAATGTTTGTATCTGTGTATCTTTGTCAGTGTGTGTAGCTGTACGCCTGTCAGTGTTTGCATCTATGTGTCTGTGTATCAGTATGTGTGGCAGGGTTTCTATCTGTGTGTCTGTATTTGTGTCAGTGTTTATGTGTGTCTCTGTATCTGCATGTGTATCAGTGTTTGTATTTGTGTCTGTGTATCTGTTTGTGTGTCAGTGTGTGAATCTGTGTGTCTGTATCTGTGTATGTTATTGTTTGTATCTTTATGTCTGTGCATCTACACCCTGTTCCAAATTATTATGCAAATTCTATTTAAGTGTCACAAAGATGAAATATTTTGTTTTTCAGTTTAACTCATGGATGGCATTGTGTCTCAGGGCTCTTTTGATCACTGAAAACAATCTCGGACACCTGTGATAATTAGATTGCCAGGTGAGCCCAATTTAAGGAAAAACTACTAAAGGAGGTTGTTCCACATTATTAAGCAGAGCACCATTTTCATGCAATATGCGTAAGAAATTAGGTCTGGAAATAGTTTTACACTGACACAATGTTCAGAATTTTGGCTCTGTTTTGACCCCAGCTTCCCATCCAACTACCGCCCTATCTAGCTACTGCCATTTGCCTCCAAGATCCTCAAGAGAGTTGTGTACACCAAACTGACTGACTTTCTCGAATTCAACTCTCTGCTTGACCCTCTTCAGTCTGGATTCCGCGCTGGTCATTCTGTTGAAACGGCTGTGACCAAAGTATCCAACGATTTAATTTCTGCTAAATATCGTGGCCATTACTCTATCCTAATTCTCCTTGATCTTTCTGCTGCCTTTGACACTGTTGACCATCAACAGCTTCTCCGCATTCTCCATAATTTTGGTCTACGGGATACTGCTCCCTCCTGGTGCTCCTCCTACCTCTCCCAGCGCTCTTTCTGTGTTTCTTTCTCTGACTGTGCCTATTCCCCCCAACCACTCTCTGTCGGGGTTCCCCAAGGTTCTGTCCTTGGTCCCTTACTGTTCTCTACCTATACCTCCTCCCTTGGTAAACTCATCAGCTCCTTTGGCTTCCGTTATAATTTCTATGCAGATGACACACAAATCTACCTGTCCACTCCTGATATCTCTCCGCCCACCTTGACTCGTGTCTCTGACTGCCTCTCTGCGATTTCCAACTGGATGGCTGCTCACTTCCTAAAACTTAACCTGTCCAAAACAGAACTTTTGGTCTTTCCTCCCGCAAGCGTTAACACTCCCGTGTCTGTCTCCCTCCAAGTCAATGGCACTACCATCACCTCTACCTTCTTTTCGACTCCTACCTCTCCTTCACCCCTAATGTCTAATCAATCGCCAAATCCTGTCACTTCCATCTAAAAAACATAGCGCATATCCACCATTATTTAACGACAGATGCAGATAAGGTGCTGGTCCATGCTGTTGTTCTCTCTCACCTTGACTACTGCAATCCCCTTCTCAGTGGTCTCACGTGTTCACAGATTGCACCGCTGCAATCTATAATGAATGCAGTGGCGAGACTCATTTTCCTGTCCACTCGCACCTCCCATGCCTCCCCTCTCTGTCAGTCCCTGCATTGGCTTCCAGTTAGATATAGGGCTCAATTTAAAATCCTGCTGCTTGCTTACAAGTCCCTACATAATGCTGCTCCAACCTACCTATCCTCCCTAATACACAAGTATGTCCTGTCGAGGCCCCTATGCTCTGCCAAAGACTTGCGTATATCATCTGTCCATACTCCCACCTCTAATGTTCGCCTCCAAGATTTCTCCAGGGCTGCACCTACTCTGTGGAATGCCCTTCCCTTCTCCGTAAGACTTTCACCCAGTCTCTACTCATTCAAAAAATCACTGAAATCTCACTTCTTCAAGAAAGCATACCAATTAAACTGTTAGCAGGTTTTTATCCCCCACCCACCATAACTCCTTTCCTGCAACTGTCAAAATTACCTACTAAGCCCTCAGTGAATACTTTTCTGACAACCTACTTCATGCCCCTACTTTTACCCTTTGTGTCTATACCCCCACTCCCTTTAGAATGTAAGCTCATTGAGCAGTGCTCTCCACTTCTCTGTTCCTGTACATCCAGTTGTCTTGTTACAATTACATGATGAATATTTCCGTCATGTGTCCTTAAGGGGTTAAAAAAACTCCTAAGCTTCTTTCACAGTATGGCTCATTGTCCATCTGTAAAGTGAAGCTTTGTTCAATCATCTTTGCTGTATTTGGCTGAATCTGAGCAGATAATATATCCAGATACACTTCAGAATTCAGATACAGGTCAAGGGCACAAATGGCAATAGCTGCTGTGGGCTGCTCTACTCCAGTGCAGATTCCTGTTCACAAGTGCGGGGAGGAAGTGCAATGTGGAAATTGAAGATTCTCCTTCACCACCTGCAATCACCGCTCGAGTTGCACTAGCAGATGTCTGTAGTACTACTAGGACTCCTGATAGACAGAGCTTGGTAGGCTCTGTCAGCCTTGAGTGCCATGCAAAGGCACCTGGAGTGCCATCATGGCACATGTGCCATAGGTTGCCGATCCCTGTCCTAATACTTTTTTCCAATTTGGATGTAAATAACCTTAGATTAAAGCCTATAGACTTTAAGCAAATATTTACTATTTAACTATAATTTTAATTTATTGTGGTAAACAGCCGAACATTCAAACACACAAACACTACTCAGTGCTAAATACACAAACACAAGGATGTGCAAATGGAAGACCCCATTTGCTCATCCTTGCAAGGTTGTATTTAGCACTACCTTTTCTGACCCCTTGTGATGGGTGGGTCGGGGCAACAGAAAATTATTGCATCAGGGTCCTCTCTATGTTCGTTCTGCCACTGAAAGAAACACCTACCCTCCTGGAAAGGAATGTTATGGTACCAAAAAAAACTAAACAAAAAAGCATCTGTTTGCAAAACATTGTTTGTGTGAGGGGCAAATAAGGCCGTAAAGGAAGCATACAAAGAGTAGCATAGTATAGGGAGAGATAAGTCGGTTGAGGTGTGCCGGAACGGACGTCGCGGTAGGCCTGTGATAAAAGAGGGCCCACCCTTGAGGTGTAATGAAAAGTATAGATAGAGGGAGTGGAGGGTGGGGACATGCGAATCGCTAAAAGCACGTACGGGATGGAAGAAGGTGAGTAGGGGGGTTTAAGTAGGGTAACATGCCCCTCCCACAACTGCAGGCCAAACCTTTGCATTTATGCTTAAGAGCCATTACACCAATAGTTTTCCTTTAAAATGGAGTACTTTCACCACACAAGGCTTATTGCATCATCAAATGCTTAATAATGCCCCAATAACTGATTATTTTAATTATTAATTTTATGTTTATATGTACTTTATGGTGCATTTACCCTCAATCCCTTCAAACACAAGATTCAATTATCTGGTTTATTTCTCATTTTTATTCATGCAAAGCAATATTAATCCCCTCTCCAGCCTTAAAATATTTATCAAATATAATTTAGATTTTTTTATTGAATCATTTGGCAGAGTTGATACTGAGAGCTCACTGTGTTGCTAAGCAACCAGGCTTAACCCCTTCTGAAGTTTTATGATGTACTGTTCTCCTCGTTGGCACAAAACAAAATGACAAAGCTTCACTCTGAAACCTGAAAAATTATAATTTCTATCCATGTCCTCAATGCTGACCTGATTAGCTCTGGAGATATCAGTTAATACAGTTGCTTATGTATAAAAACATTAGCATAATCTGCGGCACTGGACTATTTAGACTGTGATTACATTTTACATTTTTAAAATGCATAATTAAGTAGGCTAGTAAAAAAATCACTTTGTTTATGCCATCCTAGTCACACCTCCCTGCATGTGAGTTACACAGTCTTCCTCCACATTTCCTGTAAAGCGAGATCTAATGTTTAAACTTACTTTATTGCAAAGTGTGTTTTGTTTACAGTTGCATATCTCAAGCACTGTTAACAGCTTGCTGAAGTCTGCAGTAGCCTCCTGTATGCGATTAAAGGTCAATTAACAGAGCAGGAGATAAAAACTTTTAAACTAAACACTAGACATGTGCAATTTGTTTCGGTCCGAATTTAAATTCGGATGAATTTCAGCAATTCGGACATTTGGATGCTTCTGAATGTCCGAATTGCCGAATGTCCGAATTTCGGAAGTGCCGAACCGAATTGCCGAATTGCCAAATTTCAGAAGTGCCGAAGTGCTTTGGATTTCTGAAAAGTGGCAAAACAGGAGAGGGAGGGAAAATTAAGGGAATAGTGACAGGACAATAAACACCTAACCCTACCCCTAAACCTAGGGGTAGATTCCTGTCATCATTCCCTTAATTTTCCCTCCCTCTCCTGTTTTGCCACTTTACAGAAATCCAAAGCACTTCAGCACTTCTGAAATTTGGCATTTCGGCAATTCGGTTTGGCACTTCCGAAATTCGGCACTTCGGGACTTGAGGATTGGGGATGTTTTGCCCATGCACATCCCTACTAAACACACTGTGCTGTCACATTTGACAGGAACAACAATTAACACCTAAATGGCAGAGAAGTGAGCAGTGAGACGGCAGGGTAATGATCTATTCACCAAAACTGCTTCATTAAGCTAAAGGTCTACAATATGTAGGGAGAACCACAAAGAAATTAACTACGAGAGTACGGGAACATTAGTGCAACATTCCAAGAAAGTTTATGTCACATTCAGTATCAGCACATTTTACAGAAGTGCTCAATGCGGATGCGAGCCTGTTAGAGTTTATGGCTGTATGCGAAGGAGTAAAACATTGGAGATATGCACCAATTTTTTATTTCACTTAAAAAAAATGTTAAGATGCATTATCAATAAATTGTTTCATTAATTTTATATGGTGTATTGCCTGGTCACTTGTTCATTATCCCACAAAATTAGTGGTATATACAAAGTTTATTTTGCAGGACATGAGTTTGTGTTAAGAGCTATTTCTAGAGGGGTGGCACAGTCCTTTCTTATGTTTTATATGTTTCCCATTGGATGTGTGTAGGTTACTGGTATTTTTCCATATAGGACTTGCAGCATTCCCTTTACTGACTTTTCCTATTTATTTTTTTTTAGATGATTTTTATAAGAAAAGTTCTCCTTTCATGGAGTTTCAATAGAAGTTTTTTTTTTTCTTTTTTCTTTTTATCTTTATTGCTCCACCACTTTACATTTTAATTAAGATAAAGTTGTTTTGGTACGGAGTACCCCTTTAAGTCAAAGGTACAGCTAAGACAGTATATGCTATGTATAAGTATGGAACGTATTGCTTTTAATAGCGTAAATTATTGAGACAATGGGAGATAAAAAGTTTAAAGGGTCAGTCCAGGCCAGAGTTAACCCATTATTTTACTTAAAGCACATATATATAATAAATATTGCAACAAAAAAAATATGCAAATAAAAAAAATGCAAAACAACAACTATAAAAAAGACACACTTTCATAGAGCCGCCTTCTTTATTTTTCTCTGCAGAGGTAGTTACAGGCATGTGTCAAGTGCCACAATAGCACGCATGATTTGATCATCAGTTTTGTCACAGTGGCAATACAAAAAGCTGCACATTTTTGTTTATGAGTTGGAATAAGCTAGGAATAACATTGGCATTAATGTAGTTGTCAATTGTTTGGCATATAACATTAAAACAATGTGAGAGTAACAGTCGCAGGGCACATAGCTGTAGCGCATTATGAGTGTAGCTGGTGTTGCTGTGGGGGGCAATAGCTGCATGATGCAGAGAGAGGCAAGTGAGCACTTCCACCAGCTATGGGTCAAACTGGAGACCCACATAATCTCTACACCGCCCCAATCCTCGAGATGGAGGACGGGGTTGTGGGGATATTTATGGGATGATAATATTAAACAGTCGAAAATTGCCCACTATTTCAATTCTCTTAGATCTTAGAGATCGTTTATCATGTAAGTGAAATGTATTCCATACAAATAAAAATCACAATGTGTTATAAAAATAGATTTAATTTATTGTAACAAATTAAATAACAATAATATTAGGCAGCATGCATGATAATAATCAGTGAGTATTTAGTATAACATAAGTATGCAATACAATGGAATGGCTATACACGTTCCAATGGCTAACAGCATCATCTGTCACTTAAGATTTATGAGGGTATCTTTACAGACAAAAGTAAAGCTTCACACAGCGAAAAGCCATAAAACCTTGGCTAACAGTTAAATCAACTGAGTAACCCTTTCAATTCTGGCTAGATCCTCCTAGGCATATTATATCCTATTCTCTTGTAATTTTCAATTAAAATAACATTCAAAGCAGCTCATTAGTCATTTCCTGGAACCATCCAATAAGAATAATCTACCAGATTCTATAAGCCGAATTTTAATTAGCCTAAAAAGATATCTTATCTTATTTTAGAGCAAATCAATACACCTGGATAAAAACAGCGGTATGCTAACATTGGATACTATCACATTAATATATAATTATTCTTAATTCCACCTGCAGAATGGAATGTTTATAACTATATATTCTTTAGTTAACTAAGATTTCTAAATATTGAAATCTGACCGTGATTTATCCAGTCATATATCATGCTATTAGTAAATTTAAATTAATTTAAATTAATTAAATAAAACCAGCATAATTACCAGTTATGTAGATATTCTCATCAGATGAGTAGGTAGTCCCAGGAACTTGATTGGTTGTATGGAGGTGTGCAAGTAATAGAGAAAAAGTGGTGTTGGTTAGAAAGTATCAGTAAATTTCAAAGTGTCAAGGAGGTGTGTCCAAGAGAGTTTAACCCCTTAAGGACACATGACATGTGTGGCATGTCATGATTCCCTTTTATTCCAGAAGTTTGGTCCTTAAGGGGTTAAGAGTAGAGTGTTAGTCCCAGAGAGTGTTTCTTGAGTCTCTCTCTCTGCATGTCCGAATCTGATTGACCAAACTCCAACTCCCTCTCTCTACCAACTAACTTCTCTCTTCCCTTTGTCCTAACTTTTAAAGGGCCAGACTCTCTGTACGTCATTAGTTGATACGGCCAATAGGAAGCTGAAGGTGGGTTCAATCGATGGATCGCAATTTAGGTATTTGATCCATAGAGGGCAGTCTTGCCTAACTAAACCTTCTTATCCAGGAAAGAGTTAACTTTTCCTGATGACGATTTTGACGTCATTTGGCTTATCTAAAATGACTACCATAACTTAAATTTGCTGTCAGTTCAAAGTGTTTGTCTCAGTCTTTGTGGCAACTACTTTGATCGTAATTTCTAAAATTGACAGTTCTAAACTCAATTTCACCCCTTACTTACAATGAGACCTTGTAAAATTTAGAAAGTAAAATTAATTACTTAGTCTTCTCTGTCACTAGTGTCTGTGTTTATATAATGCATTCCTTATCTCAAGCTCAGTGGTTAGTGAAAGCAAGGAAATGATGTGTCTCTGTTATCCTGAAGATAGCAAAATGGAGTCCGCTCTGTTCTGAGTAACTCTGGCAATATACACTTTTAATTTCTTTCTTAGCACAAAATGTCTGCAGATATAAATATCCTGACAGGGTGGCAAGAAACAGAGGGTGAGGAGGACCCCCTCGGGCATAAAGCACCCAGACAAGCCTGCACCTCACATTGCTGGCTTGTCTGGGTGCTTTAGGCCCGAAGGGGGTCCTCCTCACCCTCCGTTTCTTGCCACCCCGTCCTCCATCTCGAGGATTGGGCGGTGTAGAGATTATGTGGGTCTCCAGTTTGACCCATAGCTGGTAGAAGTGCTCGCTTAGTCTCTGCATCATGCAGTCCACAGAGCACAGGGCTGGTTCACGCTGTTCGTTTGCCGTCTCGGCTAGCCATGTGGTAGTCGCCATTTTTGGTCGGGTCTCTTTGCTTGTTTGGACCCTGCGCGAGGTCTACATGTCGATTTGTTTGCTTAGGGCAGTCGAGTAGGGACCGGGATAACCCCCGCCGGTCCAAAGGGGGTGGGGGGGGGGTTAGAAGTTTGCATGATCTCGTGTGTTACCAGAAAGCAGGGAGGTCGGCCGCCTCTCCCCAGCTCCGGTTTGGCAGGCCGCAATGGCGTTTCTCCAGTCTCCCGCAAATTAAGGTCTTGAGGTTTATCTCTGTGTTCCCTCTGGGCTGTGCACTGCCCGTCAGTGGGTTTTATCACTGTTTGTTCAGGGTTCACAGTCAGTAAAAAAGGGGGATAAAACATTTTTTAGATACATAAATGAGAAAAGAAAAGTAAAACAAGGATTAGTTAGATTAAAAACAAAAGAAGGAAGGTATGTAGAAGAGGATAAAGGCCTAGCTGACTGCCTCAATGAATATTTTTGTTCTGTATTTACAGATAAAAATGAAGGAAAGGGACCTCAGTTGAGAAAAAGGATAAATGAGTCATTTATTACACGTGAGTTTACAGAGGAAGAGGTTCTATTTCAACTGTCAAAAGTAAAGACAAATAAGTCAATGGGACCTGATGGAATACACCCAAAGCTATTAAAAGAGCTTAGTGGTGTACTAGCAAAACCATTAACAGATTTATTTAACCAATCATTGTTAACAGGAGTAGTCCCAGAAGATTGGAAGTTAGCGAATGTTGTGCCCATTTACAAGAAAGGTAATAGGGAGGAGTCGGGCAACTATAGGCCAGTAAGCCTTACTTCAGTAGTGGGGAAAGTGATGGAAACCATGTTAAAGGATAGGATTGTTGAACATCTAAAAACACATGGATTTCAAGATCAGAGACAACATGGGTTTACTTCAGGGAGATCATGCCAAACTAATCTTATTGATTTTTTTGATTGGGTAACTAAAATTATAGATCAGGGTGGTGCAGTAGACATTGCTTACCTAGATTTCAGTAAGGCTTTTGACACTGTTGCACATAGATGGCTTATCAATAAACTGCAATCTTTAAGTTTGGATTCAAATATTGTTGAATGGGTAAGGCAGTGGCTGAGTGACAGGCAACAGAGTGTTGTAGTTAATGGAATATATTCAAAGCTTGGACTTGTCACCAGTGGGGTACCTCAGGGATCTGTACTTGGACCCATTCTCTTTAATATTTTTATTAGTGATATTGCAGAAGGTTTTGATGGTAAGGTATGTCTTTTTGCTGATGATACTAAGATATGTAACAAGGTTGATGTTCCAGGAGGGATAAACCAAATGACAAATGATTTAGGTAAACTAGAAAAATGGTCAGAATTGTGGCAACTGACATTTAATGTGGATAAGTGCAAGATAATGCATCTTGGACGTAAAAACCCAAGGGCAGAGTACAGAATATTTGATAGAGTCCTAACCTCAACATATGAGGAAAGGGATTTAGGGGTGATTATTTCTGATGACTTAAAGGTAGGCAGACAATGTAATAGAGCAGCAGGAAATGCTAGCAGAATGCTTGGTTGTATAGGGAGAGGTATTAGCAGTAGAAAGAGGGAAGTGCTCATGCCATTGTACAGAACACTGGTGAGACCTCACTTGGAGTATTGTACACAGTACTGGAGACCGTATCTTCAGAAGGATATTGATACCTTAGAGAGGGTTCAGAGAAGGGCTACTAAACTGGTTCATGGATTGCGGGATAAAACTTACCAGGAAAGGTTAAAGGATCTTAACATGTATAGCTTGGAGGAAAGACGAGACAGGGGGGATATGATAGAAACATTTAAATATATAAAGGGAATCAACACAGTAAAGGAGGAGACTATATTTAAAAGAAGAAAAACTACCACAACAAGAGGACATAGTCTTAAATTAGAGGGACAAAGGTTTAAAAATAATATCAGGAAGTATTACTTTACTGAGAGGGTAGTGGATGCATGGAATAGCCTTCCAGCTGAAGTGGTAGAGGTTAACACAGTCAAGGAGTTTAAGCATGCGTGGGATAGGCATAAGACTATCCTAACTATAAGAAAAGACTAGGGACTAATGAAAGTATTTAGAAAATTGGGCAGACTAGATGGGCCGAATGGTTCTTATCTGCCGTCACATTCTATGTTTCTATGTTAAATCCGCTTTATTGCTTGTTTAGCAGAGGACCCACACGTCTGCTCCTCTCGCCAGTCAGGCTCCGCCCCCCATAGAGCCTTCTTTTTTGTGCAAATCCACATATATTAAACAATCAGCTTTGACCAGTAAGGAGCCTCCATTTTAGTCTATGGAGTCTAAACTTTTAGGAAAGACGGTCTGTCTGTGTTGTTAGTGTGAAAAGTCTCGTAAATTCTGTAAAGATGATGTAAAATGTTTGTAAATACTTATTAGGAAAAACCGAAACCTTTTCCTTTTTCTGTGAGACAATATGGAGTTGTTTTATACATGGTGCTGCTGATGTTCAACAACATTTCAGTGTCAATCATTATTTATTTAAGTTGTCATTAACAATAATTTATTTATAGCCTAAGTAAGTAGCAGTAAATACCCACAAGCCAGTAGGATTACAAACAAATTAAAAAAACAAAAAGCATAGGTGCGAACATTTTTTGGCACCTTATGGCATAGGCACAGGCAGGGAAGAGAGCAGACATGGAAAGGGAGATCATGCTAGTCAAAGAGGGCAGTTCTGTCTGTCAAAGGAGGTACCTCTCATCAATGTGGCAGGTCCATCTTACAAGAGGCAGATCTGCCCCATCAAGGGGGCCATCCTGCGATCAAAAGGGTTGGCCAGGCTAACTAATAGCCTGCCCCCTAGAGCAGACCATGCACTTAGCACTCCTGAAGTGCTCCATGCATGATCCTAGTGCCTAGTCCACTCCTGCATTCTGAAATCTGCCTGCCTGAGTGTCACGATCACCCTGTCGTTCGTATACTCCGTTCGTTCGTATACTCCGTTCGTTCGTATACTCCGTTCGTTCGTATACTCCCGAAATGCTAGGGACTTAGTGATTATAGCCCGTTCGCATAGAACGTTGATTTGTACGTTCCCGAAATCCAAGTTGTTCGTAAGAATAAATTCAGCGGTTCGTCGGTCACATACCCAAACACCAGTCGAGAATTGTTGAAGAGTCCAACCGGAATGTTTTATTATGGCCAGTTGGCCCACTTTTATACACAGATCCCCAGCAGGGGGGTTTCAAGCAAAAACATAGTAGAACACTCCCAGAACACTTCCACAACACGCTTTGATAATTTAGTGTACTTTGCTTAAACTAATTATCTCCCAGGCACTAGAGTTACAAATCATGAAACATAAAATATTAAAAATGCACATAATACATATATGAACCCCCACTATGAAAATGTAAGGGGTTATTTTGTGCCGCCCACAAAAACATAAACCTTGTTTATTTGGCCCATGTTAGCCTTTGAGTTTGACATGCTTGATCTACACAGCAATACTTTGAGTGGTTTTATCATACCTACTGAGTTCCGAGCCAACCTGAAGGGCTCTTAAATATGTGTGTCCTTTATACTTGCTACACGGATACCACTTTATACAGTCTGTCGCTTTTATGTTTTTATTAATAGGTTTTATCCTGCCTACTTCTGCTAGTGTGTAATACAATTACCATTGGTGTGCTATCACCTTATTTCTCATCAAGTGATAATAGCTGTCTTCAGTAACACAAGGAATTGTGTAGGTCAGTCCAGGTGGGACCGGGATAACCCCCACTTAGTCCGCACGCCAAACATTAGAACTGGGAAATCGTCCGCTTTTCCTTAGCTCAGTCGTCTGCAGGCCACAACGTGTCGCAGTGGACTCCCGCTAGATAGAGATTCCGAGCAAGGTGTCGGTAGATTCGCCACAGCTACTCCCAGTTTAGGTAGCGCATGATGACGGTGGTAACGGTGCATTTACCAGGAATATCATCTGAGAATTGGAAAAATAAGCGGGAGCCTGCTCAGCACATGCCTGTTCAGCTCAAATATCAGGCTCCGCCCTATAACCCACCTATGTTTTTTTTTTGTATAATTTAAATTATACATTTAATTTTCATAATAAGTTTCCTACATTTTTACATTTTTTTTATTTTTTGTTCAATCCACAGGCAGGTTATACTAGTAGAAATGACCAGTAATACATGGATGTACATTAGTATAGTAGCTTACAAGTTACCAGCACTTGCATTATGCATGACATGCTATGCATTTAAATTGGAAGTTTTAGATTATTAATAGTACAATACATCTCTTGGTTAACGCTAAAAAAAAATGGAGTAGAGAGAACTTTCTGTGTCATATAATGAAGAAGGGTGCTATAATATCTACTAAATAACAAGAGATGTAGTGAAAGACACACAAGTTTTACGCCTCGCTACCACAGTGAGCAGTATGTCTAGCAATTAACAATACCACCAGGCGGTAGGGGGAAGTTGGTCTGAGAGCTAGGTATGTATCTGAACATTTGTACAAAGTGAAACACAAAGCCATTAAATTAAAAACATAAAAATTTAAGGGTCACATTTAGGCTATAATATATGTATCCCAGTAGATGGTTCCCGTGGTGACTGCAGCATAGATATCTTAGGCTGATTGTCTTGGAGTGAATCTGGCAATGTTTGCCGGATCCAATCGGTGGGCTGATGAATTGCTTAAACCAGGATTATTTTGACTTCATGACTACTGAGGAAGTCCCAGTATTGCTAATAGGGCAGTTGCCCCTTGAAGATATGGTATTGGATACAGGAATCGCCATGTAGGATAAGGGTGCGATAGTTTCATGGATTTTGTCAAGTTATTGCTCTGTATTTTCGTCTGCAAAACCCACTTATTATTTTCATCGCCATTTATATAGCGCTAACAGATTCCAGAGTGGTTTACAATATAATGAGAAAGGGGGGATTTAACTATAAATAGGATAATTACAAAAATACTTATAGGAACGATAGGTTGAAGAGTACGCTGCTCACACAAGCGTACAGTCTATAGGAGGTGGGGTTTAAAACACATTAGGACAGGAAAGAGCAATCAAATAAGGTGGGAGTGAAGCAGAGGTGGAGGAGAGAGTAGAGTGCTGCCCTTTAGGAGAGAGCAAGAGACAGGTATGTGAGGTAGAGGTTACTATGGGAGGCCATAACCTTTCCTAAAGAGATGGGTTTTAAGGCACTTCTTAAACAATTGAAGACTAGGGGAGAGTCTGATGGCAGTAGGCAGGCTATTCCATAGGAAGGGAGCCGCCTGTGAAAAGTCCTGCAAGTGTGAGTTGGCCGCACGGGTGCGAACAATGGACAGGAGAAGGTCATGGGCAGAGCGGAGAGACCAAGAACGGACATACCTATGGATCTGTGAGGAGTTGTAAGAGAGGCTAGAATTGTTCAGTGGTTTATACGTGTGAATTAGTACCTTGAATTGACTCCTATAGGATAGAGGAAGCCAATGTAAGGACTGACAGAGGGGCAGTGACGTACTAAGGCGGGGTGGTCCGCACCAGGTGCTATCAGGCAGGGTGGTGCCACCAGGGCTGGACAGGCTTGCTATTCTGTGAGGTGTGTGGCTGCACCGGGCTCCATAGCAGCAGGGGCGCCGGACAGCTGACACAGCTCACACGCAGGGGCTGGGAGCAGGAGCAGGAGACCTGGTTGCACAGAGACTTGGGCGCGGAGCTAGAATGGCCGTGGGGGTGGAGCCAAGCCGGATGCAGGGGCGGGGCTAAATGCAGCCTCTCTCTGATCACACAGAGGGGAAGCAGGAAGGAGCCTCTGCTTCCCCAACTACAGCACAGGAGCCAGAGGGACTGAATCCACTTCTCCTCCAGCCCAAGCTTACTGTAAGTGAGAGAGAGAGTGTGTGCTGTGTGTAACTGTGATTGTGACTGTGTATGTGATTGTCTGTCTGTGTGTGTGTGACTGCCTGTGATTGTCTGTGTGACTGTGTGTGATTGTCTGCCTGTGATTGTCTGTGTGACTGTGTGTGTGACTGTCTGCCTGTGATTGTCTGCCTTTGATTGTCTGTGTGACTCTGTGTGTGTGACTGTCTGCCTGTGATTGTCTGCCTGTGTGTGTGTGTGACTGTCTGCCTGTGATTGTGGGTGTGTGTGTGTGAGTGACTGTCACTGACTGTGTGTGTGTGTGTGTGTGTGTATGACTGTCTGCCTGTGACTGTGTGTGTGTGTGTGTGTG